CGCGTCCTGCTGCCCTGCACAGTGCGCGCCCTGTTGCCCTGTCCACCGCGCGCCCTGCCCAGCAGCCCGTGGCGCGCCCTGCCTTGCCGATCCGCACCGCCCAGGCCGAGCCGCACCGCCCTCCCCGAGCCGCCCTGCCCAACCCGAGCTGCTCCACCCTACCTCATTCACCAGCCCCACCGAGCCGCCCTGCTGCTACTACTGCTGCTGCTGCAACTCGTGCTACTTCTGCTGCTGGTGGAGGTGTTGCTTGGAGTGCTGGAGGTGCTGCTGGTGCTAGAGGTGCTGGAGGTGCTGCTGGGAGTGCTGGAGGTGCTGCTGGTGCTGGAGGTGCTCGACCTGCTACTGACCGTCACTGCCTGTCATGGCCACTATCACGGCAGTTGCAGCGGCTTGGGGTGGACAGGAGCAGTCACTGCCTCTCCCAGACGACCCAACCCCTCAGCAGCTTTCGTGAGTGGGTTGTTCAGCGAGGAAGTCCTGGTGGTGGAGGTTTTGGTTTTATGGGTACTGCAAAGCGGCGGCAGCAGCGTCCGCAGAGCACCTTCTCCCTGCAGCTGCTGACGCTGGAGGTGCTGGAGGTACTGTTGGTGCTAGAGGTGCTGGCGCAGCCAGTGCTCGTGGTGTTGCTGGTGTTGGAGGTGCTACTGGAGCTGCTGGTGCTGGAGGTGCTGGTGCTACTGGTGCTGGAGGAGCTGGAGCTGCTGGTACTGCCCCGCGTCGACCGTTTTTCTACCCGCAGCCGCAGTTGTCCCTGCCGCTGCCTGAATTGGTCCTTCACCAGGTTCTTAGTCTCCCATTTTCCACTGGCCCCACTCCACCTCTCCTGTGTCCACCGACAGACCAGTCTCAGCCACAGCTACTGCCTGGCTCCCCGTTGCCTGCTCCTGCTCCTCACACTAAGGTGACCGAGTCCCTGACTAATCGTCGTGAGCCTGAGACTCATGCTTCCACACCTGTTCGTGCTCGTCGTGTCGCTCGTCCTCGTCCTCCTGCTGTCCCAGGCACTCACGTTATGGCACTTCGTCCTTCCTTTATTCCACAGCGTTTTGTCCTGCCTGAGCCTCCCGGATCCTCTCTTCCGGATGTTCCTGACCCTAAGTCCAACCTTGCTCGTGCTGCCAGTCCTACTGTCACTCGTCTCCTCGCTACTGTCGTCACTGACCCTGACTATGAGTCTACTGCTGCGTTTGCCCTAGTCACGGAGGCGATCTTACGCTGAGGCGATCGCGGGTGAGTACTCATCTCAGTGGGAGACAGCCATGGATGCAGAGATGGCTTCCTGGAAGTCCACAGGCACCTACGTCGACGAGGTTCCTCCTCCTGGGGCGAACATAGTCGATGGCATGTGGATTTTCATAGTGAAGCGGCCGTCGGGTTCTCCACCTACCTTCAAGGCGCGTTATGTTGCTCGAGGCTTCAGTCAGCGACAGGGGGTCTTCTTCCAGACCTTCTCCCCCACCCCGAAGATGACTACTCTTCGGGTGTTGCTGCACATTGCAGCACAGCGTGACTACGAGGTGCACTCCCTCAACTTCTCCACAGCTTTCTTGCAGGGCAGCCTTCACGAGGAGATCTGGCTGCGCCGCCCACCTGGCTTCACTGGGTCGTTTCCTGCGGGTACCCAGTGGAGCCTCCGGCGGCTAGTCCACGATCTTCGCCAGGCGCCTCGCGAGTGGCACGACACATTGAGGACTATACTTGCGGCTCTTGGGTTTGCTCCTTCCTCTGCTGACCCGTCGTTGTTTCTACACACCGACACTACCCTGCCGCCGTTCTACGTTCTCGTGTATGTCGACGACCTAGTTTTTGCTACTATTGACACTGAGGCGCTGGCCCTAGTGAAGGCGGAGCTGCAGGAGAGACAGATCTGCACTGACCTGGGTGAGTTGCATAGCTATCTTGGCTTGTAGATCACCCGAGACAGAGCACGGCGCACCATTACCCTGACTCAGTCACACATGGTGCACCAGGTCCTTCGACGCTTTGGCTTAAAGTACTCGTCGCCACAGCCTACTCCTCTGTCTACCGGCCACTCGCTCTCAGCTCCACCTTCTGACGAGTCCGTAGAGTCGAGTGGTCCGTATTCATAGCTTGTGGGTTGCCTCATGTACCTGATGACGTGCACACGACCTGACCTCGCGTACCCTCTCAGCCTCCTAGCTCGCTACGTGGTACCCGGTAGTCACTGAATGGTGCACTTTGATGCTGCGAAGAGGGTTCTGCATTACGTGTGCAGTACATTGGGCATGGGGCTCGTGGTTGGAGGACGAGGTTCAGTGGTACTCACAGGACACTCTGACGCTTCTTGGGCCGACGACCAGGCGACTCAGCGTTCGGCACACGGTTACACCTGCAGTCTCGGTCCTAGTTCTGTCTCGTGGAGGTCCACTCGTTCTTCTTCTGTGCTTGGTTCTAGCTGTGAGGCCGAGATCTACGCTGGGGCCATGGCTGCATAGGAGCTACGCTGGCTGACCTACCTGCTAACCGACTTGGGGGAGCGGCCTCGTTCTCCTACAGTAGGTCGACATCAAGGCTATGCTTGCTTTGTGTCACGAGCAAAGACTGGAGCACAGAACGAAGCACATTGCTCTTCGGTACTTTCTTGCTCGAGAGCTGCAGCAGCGTGGTCAGCTTCGCCTTTCTTACGTGTCCTCTTGGGCCAACACTGCTGATGTCTTCACCAAGGCCCTCGGGTCTGGTGATCTTCTGTGTTTTTTCACTGCTCTTGGGCTTCTGCCCGTTCTACCTCACCTGCTTGTCTCTTGATCTTGCACTTGTTGTACACTGATATTTATACCGTATTTATACTTGCATGTTTCCTCTTGCTAGGTTTTGATCAGTGTATTGCCTTGCTATTATACCTCTGCATGTGAACTGGCCTTGTGGTCGCTTGCTTATGCTCGGATTGTGTGGTGTCCTTGAGATCCACCCTGAAATTTGCTTTGCTTTGCTCTGTTGTCTTGCTTGACTGGTCTTGTGACCGTCTTGTTGTCCCCCACTTAGCGTATGGGGGTATGTCAAAGTTCAATCTCAATTGTAGGCTATAGTGGGGCACTTCTTATGGGGTACAGCACTTCTAAGGTTAGTACTTGTACCCCAACTCTTGCTAATCCAATTCTGCACAGTTATTCTGACACCCGCTGTCCTGCCAGTTGTGAATGAATGGTTGTACTGTAAATAATAATAATAATAATAATATTGACGAGGAAAAAAAATCCTACCCAATAAGCTTCATCTATCCAGGTGCGAGATCTATATTGCGAGATATAATCCATTATTTGCATGGACCGCTTTGTCACCTAGTTGTATGTTTCCAAGATATCATGAATTCTAACTGTTCGCAGCAATATGGAATAATAATGTATGAATTGCCTGCAAGAATTTGAACATTCACTTCCTTCGAGAACCATGTGCCACGTGCGGCTTCATGCGGACGTGTCGAACGTGGAATAGCTGAAGATATAGTGTGTCTAGTCAGCAGTCCAGGCACTCTATTCTTTCCTCCTGTCCCCAGTTTTACTTGGATCACAGAAGTTGGCCTATTTTTGTTGCCGGATTCCTCCTGAGCATCCATTTGTTTCCTGCTTCGAGCCTTTACAGTACTTGCTGCTGTTCCACAATTGTCCCTCCCCGCTATCTCCCTCGGCCAAGTACTGGATACGGCTCGTCTCTATAAAACTCTACTCGTTCCGATTGCGGGGTTTCGTACCGCCTGGGGGATAAAGTGAGTTTGCCCGATCCCACCCTCTTGCTCCCACTTTCCCGTTTTCTATCGTCGATCCTTCATTAATCTAGCCCTTTATTCCTTCTCACCAACTCTCTTTCACTCTGGGTGTCCGTGCCTTGGGTGCATTTGGACGTCGGTTTCGTGAAGGTCAAGGCGACTTTTGAGTCGACTCACAAGTCTCGTCGCCCTTTTTTTTTTTTTCGCCTCTCTCACCTCTCTTATAAGATGCTGCATTTCCCCCGCTCGATTACCTGACTCCGAGGTAGCCCGCCTCGTCTTCTCGCTTTCGGTCTCATCCTCTCCGCAACCCACATCCCCCTTATCCTGATCCATTTAACTTTAAACCAAAGCGACTCTTCAGTCAAAAGGCCACCTGGGTCGAACGTCACTCACAGTACATTTCCGTGTCTACCTCTCCCGTCGCAGGTCGCAGGTCTTCAAGGGGCTGCCGGTAACGGTCATATCGCGAAGCGCTTGAAACATCTTCATCGAACGACAAAGTCGAATCGCGATGATGGCGAGTGCGATGATTCAGTCAACCCCCAAATGCGCCGCCACACAGGTAGGCGCGACTGGGGTAGGCGTGGCTTGGGTAGGCGTGACTAAGTGATCACCGAGACGAATCGCGATGATGGCGAGTGCGATTATCCAGTCAACCGCCAAATGCGCCGCCACACAGGTAGGCGCGGCTTGGGTAGGCGTGATAGACAATCTGTTAATGCTGTGTCTTGTAGCGCATGAAGCAATTGGCTCAATCACGTGAGGCTAATAAATCTCCAGACGATTGGATACGAGGTTTCACGGCGAGATCGTCACCTTGAGAAATTAGAAAAGGAAATTAATTTTAAATCAAGTCCCGATACGAGTCTACACGATGAGAGCTTGATACGGATGCAAATCGACTGAAACCCGATTCGATGGGTGCCGCACCCTCACACGCGGTTCCACACGTGCTGTCTTTGCTGTCCCACACGCTCTCCTGCCCGCCCTCCCTTGCGCCTCCTCCTAGTTCCTAAAAACCGCCTTATTAGAGGATTTATTCTTCGATTCCGCTCACACTTATGCTTTGAAGACCTCTTGTGTGACTCTTTTCTCCCACGCCCTCTTGGGACGTCTTTAATAATATTTCATTTCGCACCTCGTTGTTTCGCTCTTCCCCTCCGCCCTTTTCGTTCTGCCACTCAGGCGGCGCTGCTTGCGGGCGAGCCCGTTCTCAGAGGCGCCACGTCAGCACCGGCGTCTCTCTCGCCCGCCACGTGGCTGCCGCTAGGACGGTCTGGACCCACTCCTGGAGCGCCACGTGTCGTCAGGACAGCCGGGTTTAGACCAGGAGCGTCGGTGGCGGCGGCAGCGGGAGGAAGGGGCGCGAGCAGGGGGGGGGCCAGAGGTGAGATGAGGAAGGGGATGGGAGAGGGGGACGATTGGGAGAGTTGAAGGGAAAGGGTGGGGAGAGCAGTGGGGAGAGGGTGGGGAACGGCTTGGCGGGGTGAGAAACACAGCGGTGCGCTGTGGTTGAGGGAAGTTTCCGTGCGACAAGCATAGGTATGGTGAGAGGCCGTGGCGGAGGGGAGGGAAATGGGCGGAGGCGAGAAAGAGAAAACACAATCAAGGGTTTATGGGTGAAAGCGCTTGAGATGGATGCCGAGGTTTATGAAGGGTTTTACGGTGCATTTTGAGGTTTCTTGTGATTCTTGAGTGAAAAGAAACAGGATCTGTTAGCATGCAATGTTTGGAAAACTCAGCACAGCATGGCATGGGTGTGGTATGGGTATATGGCATGGGTACAACATGGGTTAGCATGGGTATGACAAGTGTATGGCGGGGCATGCATATGACATGGGTATGTTCCATACCCCCTGCATGCTCCTGCTGTTTCTCTTCCCCCATTCTCTTCCCCCATTCTCTTCCCCTCCCCGCTCCCCATTACCATCTCTCTCCTTTCCAACCCCCCCTCCCCTCTCCTGTACCCCTTCCCACCCGCTCCCCTCCTCCCCACTTCGCCCGTGCCCCTCTCTTCCCACAACCCCCATGCCTGCCCCAGTGTCGTCCTCTCTACCCAGCAGGTGCTGCTGGCGTCAGTGTCCCAGTCCACATCCATGTGCTTCCTTTTCCTCCCTTCCCCCCTCCGTTCGCTCGTACCCCCTGCCTTCCCATACCCGCCCTGCCTACCACAGTGTCGTCCGCTGCCGCCCAGCATTTGCTGCTGGCATCAGTGTCCCAGTCCACGTCAGCACCACCTCCCGTGCGGCCATCACAGCCAGCCCCTTACCCGTACGTGGCACGAGGGAGAGGGGTGTGGAGAGGTGCAGAGAGATGCGGAGGGATGATGGAGTGAATTAGAAAATGTCTTAGCAGGTGTTGCTGGCGTCACTGTCGCAGTCCACGTCAGCGCCAGCTCCAGTGCGCCCACCGCAGCCGTCCTCATACCTGTACATGGCACGAGGTAGAGAGATGTGGAAATGCGGAGGGATTCGCGGAATGAAGAGAGACGCAGAGGGGTGCAGAGATATGGAGAGGGATGGAGCGAGGTGCATAGAGATGGCAATGATGGCATTGACATGCAGACTCCGGTTCAAGTGAGAGGGAGAGAGAGAGCGGTGCACATCGGCATACATGGACATTGACATGTACGATGACAGGTCTCCGGTTCAAGTCCGGTTGTAGGCAGATCCATCAGTACATGTACATGTTCATCTACAGTCATGCGCACGCCATTAGTCTTCCTATTTCTGCTCAAGTCGCCGCCATTCCCAGCACCCAGATGCACACCTCTCATGTGGTGTGGTTTGGTGTGGGCCACTGTGGGCGGGTGGGTGTGGTGTGGTGTGGTGTGGTGTGGTGTGGTGTGGTGTGGTGTGGTGTGGGCCACTGGCCGTGGCTCTTTCCCCTGTTTCAGACGACTTTTGAGACGTCTCAAATGTGGGCCACTGTGGGCGGGTGGGTGTGGTGTGGTGTGGTGTGGTGTGGTGTGGGCCACTGGCCGTGGCTCGTTCCCCCGTGTCAGGGTCGTCGCAACATCTTCTTGCACCCCTCCTACCTTCTCCTCGCTCTTCTCCCCCCTCTTCCCCCATCTCTCGCCTCCTTACGGTACCTCACAATCCTCCCACCCCCGCCTCCCTCTATCGTGCAGGGGCACGCCTCTCATGTGGGTGGGTGTGGGCGTGGCGCTCTCGCTCTTCGCCTCCTGGGTGAGAGCTCCCTCAATCTTTTAACACACCCTCCTCCCAGCTAGATTTTTCGTATTGAGGATTCCCCGTAAGAGATTGTGATTCCAGCTGGAACCATCGTACATGCCCCTTGTGTGTGCCTCCATCCAAACCTATATCTTTTGTCGCAGTTGCTGCTTTCCGTACTGAACCTCTTTTTTTTTTTTTTTTTTTTTTTTTTTTTTTTTCTGTCTCCCTTCTCCCTTTTCCCTTCTCTTCGCCCCTCTGATGTGCAACACCACTGGCGCTCTCCCATTACCTGCAGGGCTCCAAGTTCGTCATGCAGCGCATGCAGGTGAGCAGCGGTGCATGAGGTGAGAAACGGTGTGTGCATGAGCAGCGATGTCAGGTATGCAGGCTTCTTGCTCCCGTTCTCTCTCTCCCCCAACTCTCTCCCCTCCCCCCACCTCTCTCCCCTCCCCCCACCTCTCTCCCTTCACACCCCCCAGCAAGCCATGATGAAGCAGATGCTCAGTGCCATGCAATCCGGAGGAGGGGAAGGGGGAAATGTGCGTGGTTATCTTATCTCATGCTCCTCCACCACAGTCGATGTTCCTGTTTCCTCTCCTCTCTCCCCTCCCCCCACCTCTCTCCCTTCCCACCCCCCAGCAAGCCATGATGAGGCAGATGCTCAGCGCCATGCAATGCTGAGGCAGGGGGAAGAGCAGAGGTTGGGGAGGAGGAGCATCGTTGCCTCAAGCTCCACACTTCCTTACTCCCCTTTCCAAATCTGTTTCTCCCCATCCCGTCCCTCCCCCCATCTCTCTCCTCTCCCCACCAGCAAGCCATGATGAAGCAGATGCTCAGCGCCATGCAATCCGGAGGCAGCGGCCCGGGCGGCGCAGCCAATCCGTTTGCGGCAGCTGGCATGGGCGGCGACGCCAACCCATTTGCAGCCATGGGAGGCGGCGACAACCCGTTTGCAGCCATGGGCGGCGGAGGAGCAGCAAACCCCTTCGGTGGCATGCCCTTCCCACCACCAGCATCACCCTCATCATCACCCTCCTCCTCTCCCTCGTCCGCCTCCTCTGGGTCGTCCAAGGCTAAACCCTCCTCCACAGCCGCCAAGGCGTCTGCAGGTGCGTTGACAAAGGAGTGTTGGATTTCTAGTAAAATCTGGTGGATCAGGTGCGGAGGAGCAGCAAACCCCTTTGGTGGCATGCCCTTCCCACCACCAGCACCAGCATCACCCTCATCATCACCCTCCTCCTCCTCCTCCTCGTCCTCCCCCTCCCTCCTCTGGTTCCTCCAAGGCTAAACCTTCCTCAACAGCTGACAAGACGTCTGCAGGTGCGTTGGCGATTTTTAAGTTGACTGAGATATGCTCTCTTCCTCTTTCTCATCACCCTCCTCCTCGTCTTGCCCCTCCCTACTCTGGTTCCTCCAAGGCTAAACCTTCCTCCACAGCCACCAAGGCGTCTGCAGGTGCGTTGCTGAGGGGTTTGGGCACCTGTAGTAATCCCTTCCATCCCTGTCTCTCTCTTTTCCTTTCATTTGTTTCTTCATTTGTCGCTTCCACTGGTCCTCTGAGGTCTTTTGCATGTTTACCCTCCATTTCCTGGGTAATCTGCCCAACCGCCCTCTCTACACGGCAAGTGATGCTAAAAGCAATGGATAGTGTTCGACTTTCCCATGAGAAAACGACAAAAACAGTTCGTCTCTGATGCCGTGCGTTGAGGTGGTGAGGCAGTGGGGTAGGCCCACGCCCACCGCCATGCTTGCCGAAAAAAAAGTACAGTTCGTCTGTACTCTTCTTTTTCACACCGCCACGCCTGTGTGACTGTGTCTACCACAAGCCATTCTGTGTGCATTACAACCACCATTTCCTGTCCCGATTCACCCCACCTTACCTTCCTTGCCCTCTTCCATCCAGCCTGCTCTTTTGATTTAGTCCCTGCTTCTCCACTACCTGCCCTTGCTCTCATGAACTCGGGATGGCAAGTGATGCTGAAAGCAATGGATAGTGTTCGAATCTCTCCATGAGAACAAATCAGTAATCCGTCTGATGCCATCAGAGTGTAGAGAGAGTAGAGAGCCTTTCTGTGCCATTAGAGAGTAGAGAGAGTAGAGAGCCTTTCTGTGCCGTCCTTCCTGTGCTCGCCTGTTCCCCTTCCTTCCACTGCAACGGTTTAGGATTTAGGGTTTAGGGTTGCTGCTTTCTGCCTGTCTCACGCCTCCCCTTTCCTTCACAACGCGTTCGCCATCCCCTTGCATGGCCAGTCTCTTGCCATGCGATGCTGAAAACCTCGGAAGTGATCGAGTTGACTTTTCCATGAAACCAATCATGAGTTCGTCTGATGCCATCATGAGTTCGTCTGATGCCATCATGAGTTTTTACACGCTCGTGGGTCGTCTGTTTCTGGACGTTCTTAAAAACTGTCATTCCTTTTCGTGATGTAACATGCCTCCTTTTTAACACGGAGAATGCCTGCTAAAGCTCGTTCATCCCTCCCTCACATCTCATTTGTTGTTCCCTGGACCGTATACTGCCTCCCCTACTCCTGCTGAGAATGGCGAGTGATGTGGAAAGCAATGGATAGTGTTTGACTCGTATCATGAGACGAAGTGTGTTTATCTGATGCCATCACATTGTTTCGTTTCGTCCCTGGCTGTGCTGGTTTTTCCTGTGCTCCTGTTGTTTCGCTTCTTTTCCTACTGATAATGGCAAGGGAAGGGATGCTGAAAGCAATGGATAGTGTTCGACTTGATCCATGAGAACAAATCAATAGTCTGTCTGATGCCATCAAATCAAAGTGTATAGAGCCTTCCATCCATGATCCATGTGCTCCGCAGCTCTTCTTCCATCCACTGTGACCCGTTAGTCTCTCGCTGTTATTGCCTCCTCTGGCCGTCTCACCCCTCCCCTTTCCTTGGCAACTCCATCATTCTCCATCTGCTTGCATGACTAGTCTCGGCAAGTGATGCTGAAAGCATTTTCTGATTCGCAACCTTGATTTTTATTCCATGAGAAGAAAATATGAGACTTTTTTATGCCATTAGAGGGTCTATTCTATTCTATTTTTTCCGTTCCCTTTCCACACGCTTGTCATTCTTCCTTGCATGTCTGTCATCTCTGGAAGGCCCCAAGCTGGTAGTTTTTTCCTGTTGTCTCATGCCTCTTTCTAAAGTTTATGTCTGATGCTCCACGGTCCCTCACATCTCATTGTCATTCCCCTAGACCGACCTCTGTATACTGCTGGCCCTGCATGTTGAGAATGGCAATTGATGTTGAAAGCAATGGATAGTGTTCGACTTAATTTATGAGAATATATGTGTTTATCTTATGCCATCACACCGCTCATCCTTTGTAGTCATGGCTGTCTGGTTTGTACTTTCGCCACTTTGTCCCTTTTCTTTCTTTTCTTTCTGTCTTTCTTTTTCTTTGAGGATATCATATGTGTCTTCCTACATCAATCACGTCTAGCACCTTTACCTTACTATTCATTTGTCTTCCCAAGGGTAAATTATCCACCTTACGTATGTCGACTGGGCAGATGATGCTGAAAGCAATGGATAGTGTTCGATACTTTCCATGAGAACAAAAACAAAAGATATCATATCTGATGCCATTGAATTGTCCAGCCATTCGTTCTCCTCCCGTTTCCGTTTCCCGTTTTCTGATTCCCTTCTTCGCGCCCTCTTTGTCTTGTGCGAAAGCCGTCTTTTTTCATCCCCTCGTTCTTCCGCGCGCTGGTTTCAATGTTAAAGCCGTCTTTTCATCGCATGGTCACATGGCAAGCGATGCTCACAACAAGCTATGGATAGTGTTTGACTTTTGAGACGTCTCAAAAGTTTGATTCGCCAATGAGAGCACAAACGTATTGCTGATGCCATCAGATCGTACAGGAAGTCTCTCTTTCCCACTTCCCTTTTTCCTTGCATTCCTCCTCTTCCCTGCCCAATGGAACCTCCACTTGTGTGTTCCCCTGTTTACCTGTGCAAACTGGCAGACCCTCCGTTCCACTTGTGTGTCGCTCTGTTTATCTGTGCCAAGTGGCAGCACAAGCGGCAGACCCCAAGCTATCACCCGACCATGCTGCTGCTCCTTCCGTTTCCTAAACACCTTCCCGTTTTTCCTCATCCCTTCCCACGCCTCCTTCCTACCCGTCCCCCTCCCGTCACAGCAGTGGTGGACGTGGCAGCAAAGGTAGCAGACGCCAAGCCGGCTTCTGCTGCTACACCTCCCGCCTCTACCACCACCAGCACTACCAGCACTACCAGCAGCAGCACCCCGTCGTCGTCGTCGTCCTCCTCCTCCTCCTCCACAACCCCAGCGGAGGAGGCGGAGAGCAGCAGCAAGAAGAAGAGTTTCTTCCAAGATGCTGAGGTGAGTGCTCTGCTTCTGCTCCCTCCTCTACCACCAGCAGCAGCACTAGCGGCACTACCAGCAGCACCCCGTCCTCCTCCTCCTCCACAGCCCCATCAGAGGAGGCGGAGAGCAGCAGCAAGAAGAAGAGTTTTTTTCAAGATGCTGAGGTGAGAGGCTTGTGATTTTCCAGCCCATCCCCCTCTGCCCAGTGTGTTGTACCATCTACTCCTCTCCACTCCACCTCCCTAATCCCATCCCATGGGCCCTTCCCTGTATTCGCCCCCCCAGGTGGTGGAGGAGCCATCCGGGGGAGGCTTCTCTTGGGGGAACAGCAGCAGCAGCGCCGGCAGCAGCAGTAGCAATGTGTCTAATGCCACTTGCCTTGCCCCCCACACCCCTCTCTGTGTTCGCCCCCCCAGGTGGTGGAGGAGCCAGCCGGGGGAGGCTTCTCCTGGGGGAACACCGGCAGCAGCGCTGGCAGCAGCGGTGGCAATGCGTCGAATGCCACTTGGGACACTTCGACCAACTCGTTTGCCAATGGGGGAGCTGGTGAGTGCTGGTATGCGGTCCCGTAAGAACAAACAGCAGCAGCAGCAATACCTCCTCTGTTGCCTCTAGTGCCACTGGGGACACGCCCACCAACTCGTTTGCAAACGGGGGAGGTGGTGAGTGCTTGTGTGCGGCAGCATTTCTGGTGGAGAACGAAGGCCGCCTTTGCTTAATTCACCATAGCAAGCAGCATTAGCGATGCATCACCATTTCCTTTGCGAGGTTCCCATTTTATTAGTCAACTCCAAAATATCCTCTGTAAGATTGCCATCATTATTCTCACCACCATCATCAGAGAATAATATTTCGGGCGCATTGGGTGTAAATGTCGATGTTACCCTGCGCAGGCGGGGCTAAGGGAAAGATGACAGTGGAGGCACTGGAGAAGATGCTCGAGGACCCCATGGTGCAGAAGATGGTCTTCCCGTGAGTTTCCGGGTGTAATCGCCGCATTGCCCCATGAGAGTGCATTTATGCCTGCTGGTTGTGTTTTAGTAACTCCACTCCACCCCTGTAACGTTTTTGCCACTCTCGTCTTTCCATATCACTAACGGATTCTCATCTTCCCTGCTCCCTCCAATCTGCAAGCTCAGCTGCTCTTCTGTCTTCCCTTCGCTCCTCCTCACACACATGTTGCCCTGCATGTCACGGCACAGCATCTATCTGCAAAGGCATGTATTTGCCCCACATACTTTCCTCCTTTTGCCCTCCTCCTCACACTTGTGCTGCCCTGCAGGTATCTGCCAGAGGAGATGAGAGACCCGGCCACCTTCAAGTGTAAGCACCTCCACCCACACCTCTTATCCTTCATCCCACCCCTCCCCTCTGTGTCTCCCTCTCCCGCCCTTACCCCTCCTCTCCTACTCTCCCTCTCCCTCTCCCTCCCCACCCCTCCTCTCCTTCTCTCCCTTCTGCTACCCACCCCTCCTCTCCGTCTCTCCCTCTCCCTCCTCACCCCTCCTCTCCCTCTCTCCCTTCCCCTCCCCACCCCTCCTCTCCTCTCCCTTCCCCTCCCCACCCCTCCTCTCCTTCTCTCCCTTCCCCTCCCCACCCCTCCTCTCCTTCTCTTCCTTCCCCTCCCCACCCCTCCTCTCCTTCTCTCCCTTCCCCTCCCCACCCCTCCTCTCCTTCTCTCCCTTCCCCTCCCCACCCCTCCTCTCCTTCTCTTCCTTCCCCTCCCCATCCCTCCTCTCCGCGTTCTTCCCCAGCACGTGAAGCAATTTGTTAGTCGATGTCTCCTGTACCTCCAGCTCATGCAATATCATATCTTCCTTCTCTCTCCCTTCTCCCTCCCCACCCCTCCTCTCCTTCTCTCCCTTCTCCCTCCCTCCACCCGCCCATCCCCACAGGGATGATGCAGAGCCCCATGTACCGCCAGCAGCTAGAGAGCATGCTGTGAGTTTCCTATCTCTCCTCCGCTTGCTCACCCTTCCCTCCTTTCCTCCTCAAACCGCTTCTGTCTCCCTGTTTCCCATCCATCCCCATTTTTCCCAGCACTACCTCTCCTCCTCCCTCCACCACATGCTCCCCCCCGTCCTCCCTGTTCCCTTGTCCCATGTCCCCTCGTTTTCCGTCCCAGTATTTCCCTTGTCCATCCCTCCTCTCCGCACTTTTCTGCACTACCTCTTCACCACTAACCTTCGACCTCTCCTGTCCCTTGTAGCCTTGCTTCTCATCACATCCTTTCCCTTCTCTTCCCCTCATTTCATCACATAGTTTCCCTTCTCATCCGCTTCCTCTCATCGCATCGTTTCCGTACCCATCCTCTCCCTGCAGCGACAACATGGGAGGCACGGGCTTTGATGACAGAGTACTGGACATGATGAAGAGCTTCGACCTCAACAGCCCCGAAGTGAAGGACCAGTTCTGTGAGTTGCTGTGTTGACCAGGGGGCAGTTCTCTCTATGCTTGGTTTGGGTCCAAGCTGCAATTCTCTCAGTTCACAGACCCCTTGGGTTTATCAAGCTCAAGATGATAAAGAGCTTCGAGTCGACCATGTCACCAGAGGACGTGGAGGCTAAGATCATGTCCAACCCTATCCACCCTAACCTCCTCATATATGTCTGTCACCGCACTCAACCAACCCGTACATCTCCTCCCTTTCCCCCTATCAGCCCAGCTGGGCATGTCACCAGAGGACGTGGTGGGTAAGATCATGTCCAACCCGAAGCTCGCCGCTGCCTTCCAGAACCCCCGCCTGCAGGCTGCCATCCTCGATGTGAGTCCTTTAGTCTTTGGACATGAGATGGCCTTTCAGGCGTCTCAAATGTCACCTCTTTAGACATGGGATGACCTTTCAGGTGCCTCAAAAGTCAAAGCTCGCCGCTGCCTTCCAGAACCCTCGCCTGCAGGCTGCCATCCTCGATGTGAGTCCTTTTTCTGTACTCGCTATAGTCATCAGCATGTGGGTTCGATATAAGCATTCCTTACTGGACTCCATATGAGCATCCTAGCTCATGCTTGATATCAGCATTCTTCTTTGCACTCAATATAAGCAGCCTCGTTTGTGCATGTGTGTGCATAGGCCTGCATGCTCTCTGCTTCTGCCACACCACACTGTGGGTGGTATTTGGTAACCCGGAGCTTTATCCGATGGTTCATCTAATCTCTGTTCATGTGTCTGCATCTGGGTATGTGTGTGCTTCTCCATGAACCTGCTTTCATTTTATCCTGATGCCATGGCATGGCATGGCGTGGCATGGCATGTAACTTGTCCATATGGGATGACATGGCATGGCATGGCATGGCATGGAATGGCATGCATCCCAACAGGTGTCCTCCAATCCCATGAACTGGACCAAGTACCAAAACGATGCTGAGGTAAGCAAGCACGATGCTGACATGAGCAATTAAGAAACCCACCAATCAAAATCAGTGTGGGCTGGACGGTAGCAGTACCCGGCAGCCCTGTAGGGTGGTACCCGCATCTGCCAGCCGAGTGGTTACTGCATTGTTGCTCGCCGAGTGCTTACTGCATTGCTGCTTGCACGGTTCATTAACCTTACTCTGCTCTGGTATGTTTGTGCTGCATTGGTCGACCACTGCTGACAGGGAATGAGCATCGCTAATCGTGATTTTGAAGCTCTTTGCCCCACCAGGCTTATGCTCTGTTGCGTTCCTTCCAAAATGTGTCTTCTCCCCATTTTCCCGTCCTCTGCATTGTCCTCTCCCCCGCCCAATCTGGGTCGTAATAACACTGTCTAACAGGTCATGGAGATTTTCAACCAGGTCCAGAAGCTCTGTGCCCCACCGCACTGGTTGTGCCTATTCGGCATTGTCCACTTACCTGCATCATCCCCTCCCCTCCCCCCACCCAAACACGTGTCATGCTTACACTGTCTGGCAGGTGATGGAGATATTCAACCAGATCCAGGAGCTCTTTGCCCCTCGCTGATTCTTTTTTTCGCTCCGTGGTGTTCTTCGCTCCCTTGGTCTCCTTAAGATTAGAAGAAAGCACTAGGTTGTTCAGTCTGTTTTTTGTTTGGTTAGGGTGTACGGTCTGAGAAAAAAGACTAGGTGAGTAGTAAAAGGCCACTAATTCAGGAACCCCCACTGGTGCAGCCTGTGTGGCTGGCATTAGTTGTGTATTGAGATGAGAGTGGTAGGTTGACACCCGAGACTGTTTGCTGATGTGTAACAAAAACATGAACAACTTGTTGGTGTTGTAAGTGTTGTCATGTATTCTGCTAATTTGCAGCGGGTTATTCATCCCATCGAGCGAGGATGACGACACTGAAGTTTCTTCTCCCGACATATTTGGAACCGCTCTAAATCACTCGAAAAAACACCCGTACCGTACACAACCAATCAGCTCGAATGCTGTAAATCAACCCACCGACATTTGGAGACACAATCGACACTGCATCCGTGCGACTCCAGCCGGCGATTCCTATGCATCTCGGCTTCATCACCCTGCCGTGTCGCGCTTGAACATGGCAAACCGTTCAAGAAAGGTTTTATAGATCGTCAAACCGCTTTGAAACTTGGAGAACCGTCAGGAGCATCGCAGCAAATCCAGCCGAGAGCGCCGTGGAAGGGGGTTCCGTGTAGGCAAATGTACATTCTCCAAAATATGTCCCCCCACTTGCCTCCGTTCATCAATCACAAGCGCGCAGATGGTGTTCCCCCCACCAGGGCCCCGTCCCCCTTACCCTTCTCTATCCCACATTTCCTCCGTTCCCCCTCCCCCTCTCCTCCCCATTTCCGCCGTCCCCTCCTTTTCTTCCTTCCCCTATTGCTCCCAGCCGCCATTTGTTGCTTCGACACTCAGGAAACACCTGCCAAACCAAACCAAGTCATTGTCTCTCCAAGCCACCACACTCGACCTAGAGAGACTCGCTCAATCGTGAATTTATTGCTTTCTCATTTTTGTCTCAAGAAAACATCTCTGCGCGCTCCAACCTTGTCACCTATCCGCCACTCGCTGTAGATCGTTTCTAATTCACATTCTCAGATTTCGCAACAGCCTGTTTAGCTGAGAGTATACACGTCAGCCGCCATGGCAGTCCGAACGCTGCTGCTAGCTTCTCTCCTTTCAATGTCGATATTGGCGACAGCTGCGGACCCGTTGGCGACGCCTGCGAACTCGTTGGCGACAGCTGCAGACCCGTTGGCGACAGCTGCGGACCCGTTGGCGACAGCTGCGGACCCGTTAGCGACAGCTGCGGCCGCGGCAAAAACGGCGGGAATCATAGGGGAGCTGAAGGCGCTGCGGCAGAAATTGATGCTAAATCCTCGTTTGAGATACCTCGTCATGAGTCAAGTTCTTTCTCAGCTGATTACTCAAGGAAGTAAGTCCAAATACAATCATCGTCGTAATTTATATTTTTTCCGGCTGTGTGATTCCAGAGCCTACCTGTGCTGACTTAGAGAAACTCAGGTCTGCATCTCCCTTGTTCCCTTTCCCTGCCGCGACTCGCGCTCGATTAACAGGGCTGTTAATCTCATTTCATACTCTACCAGCAACTTACTCTCTTTTCCCGCCCAGACTCGTGTCATGCCCCCGTTTACACCGTTTTACACATTTCTCGCAACCATCGATTGGCACGAAATGCACATCTCGTCGTCCCTCGATTTTTTTCCCATCCGCTCTACTCGCCCCTTGCAGAAACCATTCCCGTTGCCATCGGTCGGATCCTTTTCTTTCACATCACCATATTTGAGGCGGCTTAGACTTCATTCATTGACATGATTCGCTCATTCCGTCATCCCTCACCTCCTTCCCATCCCCTCCACTCGTCCCTCGCAGACGCCCTCCCCACCGCCATGGACTTGACCCTTTTCATTCACACCACCATCTTAATACCCACCGACGCCGCGCTTCTGTCGAGTGGCCTCCTCCCGAATCTAAAAAGCCCGGGAGCCTCTCTCAACCTCTTTAAGAGCCTCTCATTCAACATCATAAAAGGCAAGAAGCGGTTCGCCAAGCTGAAAGCTCTTCCAGAGGGAAAGTCGGTTGCGCTTCTGCTGAACAATGGCAAATTGTTTCGGCACACAGTGAGTCCTGGTTGGGGCATGAATCAAGGTACTAGCGTGGCGCTCGCGCTCAAGGGAAAGAATAAAAAACAGTGGTCGAGAATTCTTGACAAAAATCTGCACAGGGGAAGCTTCGTTGCTCACGGGGTTGATCGCCTGCAGACTGCTTGAGGCGCTTGACCGATCCAGAAGAGGCAGATTTAGGGACTGCTTTGGTGGGAGGTTAAGCAACCCAACCCGCAGAAAGCTTCCTCTGTTCATATTGTCTGTCAGGTATATAAGCTTCTCTTCAATGGGTCTGGCCTGAGATGAGTGAATCTCTTGTTCATCATCCTTTGGTCTACCGTAGATTCTTTGATGTATTTAGTGTGCATGCACATTGAAGCAGCTGTGCCTCCACTTGCAATGAAATATATCTTGGTTGGAAATGCATCTCAACTGTCACGAAGCAGCTGAAGCACAGATCGCCAGCAAAGTGGATTTTGTCATTCGGATGTGAGGTGATGGAGATACGCAACCACGTCTGGGACCTCTCTGCCCTGCACTGATGTTCCCATCCCATGCCACCATGCGTGGTTGTGCCTTCTCCCCATCGTCACCTTCCCTGCATTGTCCTCTTCCCCACCCACAACTGGGTCATACTTACTACCAGAGGAGACCTCCTTGTTAACACCATATGGGAACACACAGTTTGTCGCAATTACAACGCTGAGCTGACTGAAACACGTTGAACCATGCGACCGTAAGAGGTGTCTTAAAAAGAGTGTACGAGAGAAGCACACCCCGCATGCTGCTTGCTGGTGGTGGGGGCCTTTAACGGATCCAGAAGCTCTTGGCTCGCGCTGATTCTTCAATTCGAACTGTGTTTTTTTGTTAGGGCGTGTCCAGCGCGTACATTTTGGGAATATTAGTCCCTTCACACGTTTCCCGGCTCAAAAAATCTCACTGTACCAAAAAACGAATATAAGGTGAGTCGAGTCCGAAGGATTGGGCCTTCCAGCGCGCGGACACAACCCTCTGCACACAAATTTCTACAGTTCGTGGAAAACGAGGTAACTGGTTGCCTCGTCTATCATCGCACAGAAATTCACGCACAAGCGAAAATTCCACGCTTGAACGAAAATTACTGTAGCGGGCAGGACGCAATGCTGTACCCTTGTTCGCGCGCACACTGATTCCAGTAACGTGTGTTAGACGATTCGTCGTACGCGCAGCGGGCGTGCCGTCTTGTGAACGGAAGCTGATCGTGTCCAACCTTTTTGTAAAATGCAGTGTTACAATAGGAAATGTGGTAACTGAATGGGTTTATGAACTGTAAATGTACGCGCTGGACACGCCCTTATCCACTTATCAGGTGCAATTGTACACTCAAGGTTTGAAAGCTGCGGCGAGTAGAAGCATGACTTTGCGTTGAGTAAGGCTGCTAAAGATGTTAGTGGCTGCCTCTAACGGAAAACAGAAGTAAAGCTACTTGGTGGTATTTAATTTCGTTCATCGACCTTCAAAACCAAACTCTGATCGCGTAACTAAGAAAATTGTAATATTGAGCAACTTGTAGTCATCTGTTCCTAGGCATAGGTTCTCACTACTTCCTAGCTATTCTACTTCTAACGAGCATTTCTGGGTAATTATTTCACCATTTTTCAACGTCAAGTGGGGTCCTTCGTTCCTTGGTCGGAACTGCACTGCACTACAGTACAATCTGCGAAAATCCTCCGTACCGTACAGAACCAGATTTCGTTACAGTTTGATAGCAGTAACACCCAGCCCACCGACCAAAGTGGAAGGAAATGGATGGAGGGCTCGAGGGAACATCTGGGCTCGAGGGAACATCTGTGCGACTCCAAGAACGCGTCACAGTGCTGCATCATCCTGACGTGTCAAAAGGAAACGGCAAACCGTTCAGAAAGGTTTTTTTTTATGTGTATAAAACCGCCCGATCCAAGCGTTTCAGAGGTGGAGATTGCACGCTTTCAGGTACATCTGAGGCAATTAGCCGGACCGTCAATTCTGCCCGGCGGTCCATCATTGGCTTTCCCGACACATAGGCAGACATAACTTGTCTCCTTGGTTGGATCCACACCCACACATGACAAGGACAAACGCAGATGTCCTTTCCCCCTGCCCCCACCCCCACCAAGCTCGTCTCTTCGCCCCCACGAACTGAACCCATCCCCCTCGTCCCCCCTCCCCATCTTCCCCGACAAGAACTCGAAGCCCCCCTCCCACCCGTTTCTTCCTTCAATCCCCCTCCACCAGCCGCCATTGTTGGTTTCGAATGTCTATAAAGCTCTCGCAGCAGCCGTCGTTCCTTTGACCCACACCAGACCTCGGATAGATTCCACACAGAGCCAGACCTAGCTCGTTAGCTTACAGGACCGCCCGTAAAAAAAACTTACCTCGATATCCTGACATTGTGGCTTACTCCGCCAGTCCCTTATCCTAACGAGTTGTTTACAGATCCACCCTGACTGATTTAGCAACAGTGTAGACATGTCATCCGCCATGTCAGCCCGAACGATGCTAGTTTTATTGCTTTCATTGCCAATAGTCGTGTCAGCTGCGGTGGTGCCGCCAACAACGGCGCAGAAAATATTGGAGCTGAAGGATCTACAGAGCAAGTTGGCTAAGAATCCCTTCCTGAGATACCTTGGCATGAGTCAAGTTATTTCTCAGCTTATTGTTCAAGGAGGTGCGACCTGCACGCTATTTCCCATTTTTTACCTCCCCTTTAAATCTTCTGTGATATTTTATAAAATTTTCGGCGTATCTCTCGGCCTCGAAAAAAAACTTTTTTTTTCTACTTATTACGTTCGCTGTATCTTCCTGCTTTCTTTCTCTGCTGCGACCCGGCGTAACGGAAACAGCAAAGATATATTTGATTCTTTTCGACTTGCCACCCACGCCCCCTTTCATCCTTTCTCGGATTTTTAACCTTCGCCTTTTTCCATCCGCCCCACTCCGTCCCGCGCAGAAACCGTTCCCGCCAGCATCGACTGGTCCCCCTTCGCCTACAACACGCTCCTAATCCCCACCGACGCCGCGCTAAGCGCAAGCGGCCTTCTCGTCCAGCCGACTACCCCTGAACAGGCACTCAGCCTCTTTAAAAGCGTCTCCTACAACATCATTAAGGGCATGAAGCCGTTCTCCCAGTTGAAGGCTCTTGCTGTTGGAAAGACTGTTACGCTTTTGCTGAACAACGGAAAGTTGTTTCGGCAGAAGGTAAATCCTGGGTGGGGCATTAATCAAGGCACTGCCGTGGCGTTCGCGCTCAAGGGGAAGAATAAAACTGAGTGGTCAAAGATTCTTGACAAAGATATACACAAGGGAAGCAGCTTCATTGCTCATGGGGTTAACCGCCTGCAGACTACAGGTGCTGCTGCTGCAGGTGCTTGAATGGTCCGGACTCCGGAGGAACCAGATCTCAGGATACGAGAGTGAGGGTTCCGTCAACCAGCAGGAAGCTTTCTCTTCACAGTGACAAGGTAATTTGAGTCCCTCTACTGGGTCTGGCTTGAGATGAGTGAACCGTTGTTCATCATCTGCTTATCATAATGTATAATGAAAGCAAAAGCATGTGCCTGGCTATCATACTCACATCAATAAAAGTTGTGTAACTGATTGTTAGTAGTATCGGCAGCATTGCTTTGCAGATGCTTGTAGCGTAGAAAATATGCTGTCTGTACCCGGTCCCACAACCGAGACACACACCTCCTCACCCATTACCACGCTGCCATTGTACGCCGCGAATCTTTGTTTGACAGTTACATTGCACATGCGACAAAAGGGAGGGAGTTGGCATGGCACTACACACTGTGCTGTACTATCCAGAAGGGGGCTGGGGAGCCTGGGATTTCCTTCCACTTCTCCCATCTCCCCCTCGGCCTCTCTCCCGCCTTCCCTGCCCTGACGCCCGATTCCCCCCAACCGATCCCCCCCATCTCCACCCCACCCTTGTCTTCTCCGCCCTGCTGTCCCCTTCCCTCCCCTAACCCCTCTTGTAGCCGCCCATACACCTAGTCCGCGGTATTTTAACCACGTGAACTGTTTGTTTTAAACACCCTTTATTCGTTTTCGGGTAATGAGATGGGCACCCAAAGACTTCGAGGTTATTATTTTACAGCCAGATCTCGCGAGAGGAATGCTAGATTCTACCCTCATTAATTTTCAAACTACTCGTTTAAACAAGTTTGACCAAGGAGAAGTACCCTCGCGCGGTTAAGATAGCGGCGGTTAAAATACCGCGGACTAGGTGTAGCCCAACCCCAGCCCAGCCAGTCGTTTTGCGAATTTGAATCTGGTTCTCGAAGTCTCGAACCAAGCCGACACGTCAGCAAGACTTGTCTGCTCCTAGAGCTTGTGTTGTGTTGCGAGCGATGTGCAAATGTGTTGTGCTGTGGATTCCAACTTTTTTGAACCAAATCATGATCATGTGGAGTCCTGTAAATTTGCAGCCATGGCTCTCCCGCCAACATTGTACATTTTCCTCTTCCCACCACGCACTTCACGCCTCCAACCCACCACAAAGCTCCAGTCTTTTCGTGCTTACTGGTCTGGTCTTCCCTGCTGCAGTAGTTCCCCATTTCAAAAATCACGTGGCTGTGACAGAACAACCTTGTCAATGCATTTGGTGAACGACAGACTCGAAGCCTCCTGTTTCTGCCCCTACCAGACCCTGTCTTACACTCTCCTCCCTGTATGTCACAATTAGTACGTGCTCTGGCCCTGAGTCTTGAGACATTTCGTTCACAATTCATATGCAGCAAGTATAGTGCTTTTTGAACGCACTACTAGAGGCCATGTCAACCCGAGCCTTTCTAGCTGTAGTACTTACGCTGACCCTAGTCAGTTCAGCCGTGGCGGCGCCGACAACGCAGCAGATAATTAAGGAGCTAAATGAGCTACAGGGCAAGCTATCGAAGCGATTCCAATTCATAATCATGAATCAAGCTGTTGGTCAAATTATTAAGCGGGGAGGTAGGCCCTTAACCCTGGCGAGTCTGCCTTTCGGGAGATTTATGTGCTTGCGTTTTTGCTGGGTCGTCGGGACAAGAGACCAATCTCGTTGCATCGTCTTCACTCCTGCCTTTTCCATGCCACTCCCCAACCCTTCCCATTTCCGTCCTTTGCAGCGACGGTTCCCGGTGACATAGACTGGTCCCCCTTCTTTTACAACACGGTCTTAATTCCCACCGATTTTGCGCTCAAGCAGAGTGGCCTCCTCAACGAACCAAAAACCCCGGAAGATGCAATCAATCTTATGAAAAGCATTTCCTACAACGTCGTCAAGGGCATGTATCCCTTTTCCAAGATAAAGAAGCTACCTATTGGGTCGTCGATCCCGCTTGTACTCAACAATGGCAAGCTTTTCCGGAGAAAAAAAGTATCCGGATTTGCGATGTTCAAGACAACAGAAGTGGCGCTTGCGCTGAAGGGGAAACCGAAAGGCAATTGGTCGACCATCGTTGGCAAGAATCTGCACAGGGGAAGCAGCTTCATTTGCATTGGCGTAAGCCAATTACAGACCACTGGTGCTTGAGGTTATGAGCCTTTAGGGACAACGGAATCAAGCCCGAGCGGGACTGTCGTAAGAGGTCAATTAGTTTGTTATTTCATTCAGGATAGAGTAGATGGCTTGTTATCCAGAGATGGAGGACTTGATTTGTTGGGTAGTAATTTATTCTTGGTCTAATAACAAGGTATGGTACGGGATGGGAGTGGGGCATGGGAATAAAGGGGGAAAAGTGGGCTGTGCAATTATTTGTAATGCTTGCATGTGGGGTGGGGTTTTAGGGTGCATTGTAGCCGGTGCAATGGGTCTGTAGCTGGGCCCTCAGGAAGTCCGTGCGTGTGCAATAGTTTCTGACGTACTTGTCTATAGAATTACATTTATTGTGGTCAAGATTTTCTGTATGTGGACACAAAGAAGCAATCGGAAACTGGCAACTCAGTTTTATCAACATGCTGTCTCAGTTTTATTAACATGCTGTACTCTCCCTCTCAGTTTTAATGAGTCACTCAGCGTCGGACCTTCCCTTCCCAGCTCCACCCTCCAACACGGTTTCCATCCGAATCTCGCAGTGTGCCTCCCTGTTTTCCTGCACTGCTGGTGCTGCTGCTGCTGCTCCTGTTGAATCTGCTTGTCGACTTTTCCCTGCCTACAACCAGCAAGTCTTGCGGCACCAGCAGTTTTACATTTTCCGGGATCCAGCCGCGATCCCACGTTAGTGTACGCGTTCCCAGGAATTTCCAAGAGTTTTTTCCCTTTCCAGCGCGGAACTGCTTCCTTGAAGTCGTAGGTTCGGCAGGCAGGCATGGAGGAGGACGATCGGTCGATCGCGGCGCCCGAGGGGAAGAACAAGGCGATCGACTACGACAAGCTCGAGAGGGACGTGGACCAGCAGCGCGATGTGGCTCTCAAGGTAGTCGGGTTACCCGGTTACTTGCGTCGGCGTGTTTTCAGCCGCCTTGTAGTGCAGGCCTAAGGTACAGCCATGCTGACGAGGCTACCGGAGTCTGAGAGTTTTGTCGACGTAGCTGTGTCGTTGCCAGCATCAGCATCAGCAGCATCAGTGACCAGCGTCGCAGATCGTAGATGATACAGTCGTGTGGACGAGCTAAGAGTCGTGGATTAGGGGCGCTCCGTCGACCTGCACAAGAGACGACAGCCTTATAGCTCTTTGAGGGACGTGCGAACGACGCTTATGGGACGTGCAAGCGACGTGCACGGGGCTTGACGCGCTTCGCATGTGCAAGTCGCGAACGACTCCTGTCAAGAGATGCTGTGGAAGTGGGCCTCTTGTAGTGAATTCACGGGGAATCCATGCAGAGGAGTTTATTGATGGGGAATCTATGAGGAATCGGTGTGGATTTGGGCTATGGGTGAGGAACGGATTCGAAATTGATTTAAATTTTATGCGGAAGAGTACAGCCAAAAAGACGCGAACGCGCCGTTACGCGACGCGGTTACGGTCACTGCTATTTGTCCGTCGAATCGTGCATCAGCGAGACGCAGAAGTAAATTCGTTTTAGAGACTTAGGAAAGATAGCCGCCTTCTGATGCATCCACCCCCGTTCAGTTCGGGACGATTCTTCTTCTTGTTATAGGTCACGTCAGCTGGGCTGTTCAGGTTTAGACCCTCCGTCTTTCTTCTTTGGTCTCTTTCTGTGCCTGAATCCGATCCCTCTTTTATGCCCGGATCCGCAATTTCTTGTGTGCAGGAGGGGAGACAGACTGAATCTCTATTAATGTTCACTTTTGACTCTTGAGCCAACTCAAAAGTCAGATGTCAAATTCCTGAATTTCATCGCTCTCTTGACAATTCTCAATTGTGCTTCGGTGTTCTGCTGTGCGCGGATGCAATCCCTTCTATGTGCCCGCAGGAGGGGAGGCTGACTGAAGCTCTTGACGCATTGCTGGGCTTGGAGAAGCAGATGCGCCTGGTACGAAGTGAATTCTTCCGTTGCCTCCTTTCTCTCTCCCTCTCTCTTTCTCTCTACTCTCTCTCCTCTCTCCCCTCTCTCCTCTCCCCCCTCTCGCCTCACGCTGATACCAGGTCGTATCTGTTTAGTGAGTCACTTGCCCTCCCTGTTGTGCCCCACTCATCTGATCGTTGCACCATTCGATCTGCTGACCGCCTGAACCATCTGCTGCTCACCTGAATCTGCTCATTTTGAGTCTGTCCACCTGAATTTGCCCACCCGAATCTGCTCATTTTGAGTCTGTCCACCTGAATTTGCCCACCTGAATCTGCTCATCTGAGCCTTCCACCTGAATCTGCCCACCGCTCTCACGAGATCGTGTTCGTCCAAATGATCAACCCACCAACCGACCAACCCATTCCCAGGCTGCTTGATAATCAAGTTGTTCTGAAACGTTTCAAACCAACCCATTCCCAGGCTGCTGACGTGGTGGGGACGCGCACAGTGGCGGTGGCCATTCTCAAGGTCTGCCACGAGGCAGCTGCGTGGAAGCTTCTCAACGAGCAGATAGTGGCCCTGTCGAAGCGTCGAGCGCAGCTGAAGCAGGTGGGTGGGAGGTTTCGCCGGTGTTCAAGATTGGGGTGTGATGCATGAGTGGTTGATGGATGGGTGGGTGATGGATGGATGGATGGATGGGTGGGTGATGGGTGGGTGGGTGATGGATGGGTGGGTGATAGGGGAGTGGGTGAGTGGGTCATCCCCTACCTTCTTCCATCATGTGCCATGCACAATGGCCATACTCTTTGTCTCTTGCTTTCTTCACATCACACACAATCCCCTTCCCATCCCCATATCCACCATTCTACACAACGCTTTCGTTTATGCCCACATGCGCATATGCCTTCATGTCCTCATGTCCTCATGCCCTCATGCCCTCATGGCCCCATGCCCTCATGGCCTCGTGCCCTCATGGGCCCATAACCCCATGTGTGTTGCCCCCATCCGGACTACCCCATGCCCCATCTCCTCGTTCCAGGTGGTGGCGGCGATGGTGCAGGAGGCCATGAAGTACGTGGATGACGCACCTGATGACGTCATCCGCGAGGAGCTGATCAAGACGCTCAGTGGGGTTACAGCCGGCAAGGTGCAGCTATGGGGGGATGGTGGGGGAGGTGCAGCTATGGGGGGATGGTGGGGGAGGTGCAGCTATGGGAGGATGGTAGGGGAGGTTTGCTGCTGGAGGGGAGGGAGGGAGGGAGTGAAGCGGAGAGGGGGCTAAGGTGCGCCTGGGGGGTGGGAGAGGGAGGGGGGAAGTGGGAGGGGGGAAGAGGGAGGGGGGAAGTTGGATGGAGAAGAGGGAGCAAGGTGCGCTTTCCGGGGTTGGAAGAGAGGGAGAGAGGCATGGTGTGCCGGGCGCAGCAGTTGTCCATCTCTCTGCCCATGGCGCAAGCAGCCATGCTTTGTTCGATGCTGGCTCTGCCCATTCACCTCCCTCTCTGCCTCTCCATCCACTCCACCATCCCACTCGCCTCCCCCCTTCTTTCTCAAATCTACGTGGAGATAGAGAGGGCGCGCCTGTTGAAGCGCCTGTTGAAGCGCCTGGTGAAGCGCCTGGTGAAGCGCCTGGCACAGCAGCTCCTCCCGTATGCTGCTGTATCCGTCCGCTCACCTGCCTGCCTCTCCATCTCCCTCTCCTGCCTCTCCATACTCTCTCTTCTCCAACACCCACACCCCCCCCATCAGATCTACGTGGAGATAGAGAGGGCGCGCCTGGTGAAGCGGCTGGCGCGCATGAAGGAGGCGGAGGGCAAGGTGAAGGAGGCGGCAGAGATCATGCAGGAGGTCGCGGTGAGTGTCCCAGCCTGTCCACGCCTGAGAGTTTCTTCCTGCCCTCACCATCGTGACCCTTCATGCCATCGTGACCCTTCATGCCATCGTGACCATTTCGCCTGGCCTCATGCAACACGCACTTACCTTCACCCTTCCACTCCTTTCCGCTCCTTTCCACTGCTCTCCACTCCTCTTCACTCCTCTCCATCCCTCTGTGATCGGCTCTAACGCCAGGTAGAGGCGTTTGGAGCCATGGCAAAGACAGAGAAAATATCAGCTTCATTTCACACTGTTCGACTTCATTTCCTACGGCTGTTGTTTTTCTCGATCCCAATGCCAGGTGGAGACGTTCGGAGCCATGGCAAAGACAGAGAAGATCGACTTTATCCTTGAGCAGGTGAGCGTTCAGTTTACGTGAAACTCTTATCTTTGATAAGGTGAAGAATCAGTTCACGAAAGAACTCTAGTCTTGAGCAGGCGATCATAGAGTTCGCGTCAACTCAGACAGTCGTATGCCCCTGAGACAGTCTGTACACTACTCAGAGCAGTCGACAGGGCGGACCTGGCACAGGGGAGGGTCAGAGTCGACATGAGAACGACTCGAACCCTCCCCTTCTTTCCCCCAACACATCCCCTCCTCTCCCACCCTGTATCACCTGCATCAGGTCCGCCCGTCTGGACTTGGGTGACTTTATGAGAACACAGATTCTCGCCAAGAAGATCAGCCCGCGTGCATTCGCCTCTGAGACCGTATAGGCTGCTGAGAAGGCCAAGGCGTAGGCAGCTGAGAAGGAGACACTCTGATTGTTCCCCTCCATCCCGCCTGTCTCTCATGTACTCCCCTGCTTCAGGTCCGCCTGTGTCTGGATTCAGACGACTTCATGCGAGCGCAAATTCTCGCCAAAAAGATCAGCCCGCGTGCATTCGCCTCCGAGACCGTTGAGGCTGCTGAGAAGGCCAAGGCGGCAGAGGCTGCAGCAGCAGCGGGTGGCGGGGAGGGGAAGGAGGAGAGGAAGAAGAAGCGGAAGGGGCCGAAGGAGGAGGGGGAGATCCAGCCGGCTGCGCCTGACGTGCCGACGCTGGTGGAGCTGAAGCTAAAATTTTACGAGCTCATGATCCGGTGAGGTGCTGTGCGGTGCTGTGCGGTTCTGCATGGTTCTGTGAGGTGAGGTGCTGTTGAGTACGGTTTGATAGCACGTGGACAGGTGAGGTGCTACAAGGTGATGATGCTGTGACGAAGTGAAGGGAGAAGCGGAAGGGGCAGAAGGAGGAGGGGGGGATTCAGCTCGCTACGCCTGATGTGCCAACGTTGGTGGAGCTGAAGCTCAAGTTCTACGAGCTCATGATCCGGTGAGGTGCTGTGCGGTGCTGTACAGTGCTGTCCGGTGGCTCGCTGCAGCTGATACTGGTTGACTCATCTCATCGTGGCTACTGAGGCCTGGAGATCTGCTGCTGCTATCAAAACATGTTCTGGTGAGGTGCTGTGCTCCTCCAATTATAACATGTTTGGCTGTGTAGGCCTCTCAATCTCCCATCCCCCTTTCCTCGATCGCCCCCTTCCCCTCACTGCAGTTACCACACAAACGCGAACGACTATCTGGAGATCCGTCAGTGCTACCAGAACATTACTGGCTGCATACGAATCTCATTCCCGCACCTTGGTTCCTCGATTTCCCCCCTTCCCCTCGCCGCAGCTACCACACAAATGCAAACGACTATCTGGAGATTTGCCGGTGCTACCAGAACATCTACGACACGCCGGCTGTCAAGGCTGACCAGGAGCGCTGGATCCCAGTGAGTGCTGCTTGTGATTGTGGTGAGTGCTGCTTGTGATTGTGGTGAGTGCTGCTGATTGGGTGAGTGCTTGCCCGCATGTTGGCATCTGGTGCTTGTGCTGCCGATCCCTCCTCTGGCATGCCCTTCACTCACACGCCTCTCACACCATCTCCGCACCTCCAACCATATGCTGCTTACCTCCCGCTCCCCCAGGTGTTGAAGCGCATCTGCTGGTATCTCGTGCTGGCACCACATGGCATGCAGTCGTCACAATATTCTCCCCACACCCATCCGCACCCGACCACATCCAACACCCCCCACCCCCTCCCCCAGGTGTTGAAGCGCATCTGCTGGTATCTCGTGCTGGCGCCACACGGCAGCATGCAGTCGTCCCTCCTCCACTCCACCTTTGCCGACCCCCACCTCCTCGACCTCCCCAAGTTCCGGTAACCCTCCTCACCTTCGTTCACCCACTCGCAACCACTTTCACCTAGTCTCACCCCTCTGAACCGCTGTCTCCTAGGCCCTCACAGCAGCATGCAGTCGTCTCTCCTCCACTCCACCTTTGCCGACCCTCACCTCCTCGACCTCCCCAAGTTCCGGTAAACCTCCTCATCTACTTACACCCACTTTCAACCCATATAATAAACTTTCACATTGCCTCACACCGCTCAGCACCGCTGTCTCCTAGGCGGTCACGGCAGCATGTAGTCCGCGCTCCTCCTCTCCACCTTCGCCGACCCTCACCTCCTCGACCTCCCCAAGTTCTGGTTACCACTGTCTGTGCCCACGCTCATCTGTGTGCACCACTCTCTAACACACCTCACCCACTTTCACTCCCTCTCACCACTCTGCACCGCTGGGACTCCTAGGCCCTTACGGCAGCATCCACACCTCCTTAGACCTCCCAAGTTCCCTTAACCTTCCTCACCTGCTCTAGCCACACTCACCCCTTTGCACCTCCCCGACCTCCTCAAGTCTCCTGACCTTCCTTTGCATATGCCATCTCACACCTGCTCCCTACTCTCATCTCATGTGCCCTTCTTCACCGTCCCCTTCCCCTCCGCCGCCTTCCCTTGCAGAGCTTTACTGAAGCTGTTTACAACGAAGGAGCTGGTGTGGTGGCTGCAGGCAGAAAGACTGCCAACTAGTCCCGTTTCAATCGCTTCTCGCTTTCTTTTGGGTTTCCTCCACATTCTTCCACTCTCAACCCATGTCTCAGCGCCCTTCTGAAGCTGTTTATAACGATGGAGGTGGTGGGGTGGCCACAGCTGCAGGCGGACTATAGTGCGGAGACGCAGGAGGAGAAGCCCACCGTCTTCCTCAACGCCTCTCGCCGCTCTCCACCTCCTCGCTTAGCCCTCCCTCTCACCTGCCCCCTCGCACCAACTCCTTACGCGCATCTCATCTGCCCTCCTTCCCTTTTCTTCCCTCCTTCCCTTTTTTTCCCTCCGTTAGAGCCCTACTGAAGCTGTTCATAACGATGGAGGTGGTGGGATGGCCGCAGCTGCAGGCGGATTACAGTGCGGAGATGCAGGAGGAGAAGCCCACCGTCTTCCTCAAAGACTCTGCTCTCGAGGACCTGCGCCTGCGCGTCATCCAGCACGTACGTGTTGCTGTGCCGCTGCTCTAGGCACTTTGTCGCGGTCCGCCACCCTGTGCTGCCTCCCTTCATCCATCCCTCTGTCTTCTTCAAGCCCTCTGCTCTTGAGGACCTGCGCCTGCGCGTCATCCAGCATGTATGCAATATTCGGCTGCTCTTGGCTGTGTCTCGTTCCTTGTTTCTTTCATTCCCCCTCTCCTCCCAGACCTCTTTTCTTCTCCCTCCGCAAATATATGTGCGCATCACCATCACCTTGTGTTCCATTCGTCCACGTCTGTTCTGTGCTCCGATGCTCCCCTTCCTTTCCTCCCTCCCCCCATCCGTTTCTAACCTTTCAGAACATTCTGGTCGTGTCCAAGTACTACGTGCGCATCGCCATCGCCTCGTCTTTCAACCCACCATCCATGCCCGTTTCCCTCCCGACTCCTCCCTTATCCCCCATCCTTGTCTCCCGTAGAACATCCTTGTGGTGTCCAAGTACTATGTGCGCATCACCATCACCTTCTCTTCCATTTCCCCATATCGCCCCCTCTACCCCCCATACTCCTACCCCCGCAGAACATCCTGGTCGTGTCCAAATATTATGTGCGCATCACCATGGCACGGCTTGCCCAGTTGCTCTCCCTCACTGTCGAGGTGTGTTATCCCACCACCTCAGCCTTAACCCGAGTCACTTTTGAGAATTCTCAGCAGCGACTCAGATCTGCACTGCTTGCCCAGCTCCTCTGCCTCGCCTCCCAGTGTGTGTTTTCGCATCACTTGAAGCGTGCTTGTACCGCGGTGTGGTTAAATGCAAGGCAAGAGAACTGGATGATGCTGAGGCACAACATCATGGCTGCAGCTACTAGTCGGCCTTTGTGTCGAGTGTTATATTTTTTTCTAGACTATCTAAAGCACAGTTTGGACAGACGCATTTGTCGGAGAGCTTCAACGCATCTGCCTGCGCTCACTAATTTGCCTCTGTATCATCCGCTTTCATGTACTTTCCCTCACAGGAGGCGGAGAAGTTTTTATCAGATATGGTGGTGGAGAAGGTGTTGGTGGCTAAGATTGACCGGCCGGCGGGGATTGTCACGTTTGGCGAGAGGCAGGAGAGCGGAGTGCAGCTGTTGGATAAATGGGCGAGCGACATTGCGAAGCTGCTCGACCTTGTGGAGACGAGCTGCCACCACATTCACAAGGAGGTGATGGTGCATAAGGTGGTGCTTAAAACATAAATAGGTGTTGCTGATGGATGTGCCATTGCTGTTTTTTTACAGATAATTTGGAAGAGATTACATTTTTCTGCGTGTAGTCCATGTTCTTGTTTCGTTTTGTCATTTGGGAGGATATTACGTGGAAACGGTTCAGCTTCTTGAGGTTGCAGAGGTGTGGCATTTTAGCTTGATATATCGGATTTCAGCTTCTTGAGGTCCAAGAATGTAGGTGCACTGGACAATCTCCCCACGCCACGTGTCCTGGAATGTTCGCTATCCACCCATACAGCCAACCAGAACTCAGTGCCAACATCTCCGCAATTTGCCATGTGGACCACTCTGGGAATGCAACAAGCAAGAGGTCTCCGCTCCACGAAAATGCAGCGCGTTCCGCGAAAATGCAGCGCTCCGCGCTGTGCGCAAAGATGGCAATTTTACGGGCATTCGTCAGCTTATCGTTCAAAACAGTTCAGTGGGATCTTTCACGGTTTACAGCGGTCGGATAAGCTACCGTTCTGACACGCGATGGGTCCAACAAAACTTACCTTGCGCTCCTGGCTCCTCCACACTCACCTTGCCATTGTCATCAGTCACATATGTCACTCCCACTCCCACATAATAACGTAACGGACGTCCGTCACACGTAATAACATCAGCTCCAAATTGGGCGCGATAAAAGAAAGAGGCGATAGACTGCGGCATCGGCATCAATCACGCCGAGACATTTCAAGCGTTCGTTTTTGCTGTCAAGGTCGGAATTAGCCGTCTGTCGCCGCCATGGCGCAAGCTCTGACCATGAGCACTTCGCGCGCGACATCTGTCGCACGCGCGGATTTTATTCCGGCGACCCGGCGTGACGCCACGTCAGCAGTCAGTCCACGTGTCGCCCTCTCTCAAGCTCACCTCTCGAGTCGTCTGCTTAGCCGCAACCGAATTCCCCGTAGTGCGATTCTTCGATCGCAGACCTCTCGCCGGCACTCGCACGCGAGCCAATTCAATCGCTCACTGTCTCACGTCGTCGCAGCCGTTAGCGCATCCGTCGCAGTAGAGGAAGCGGACGTCGTTATTGTCGGAGCCGGCGTGTCGGGCCTGTGCACGGGGCTCGCGCTAACCACGGATCACGCGGACACTGTATCGAAGGTGATTGTAACGGAGGCGCGGGAGCGCGTGGGCGGCAACATCACAACGGTGGTCGGCGAGGCGGGGACGGCGAACGAGGGATATTTGTGGGAGGAGGGGCCCAACAGCTTCCAACCCAACGACGCCATGCTCAAATGCGCGGTACGTAATTAGCCATTCGCGTTATAACGAAGATGAGCGTTTTGATCTGCCTGAATACGAACTAGGCGGTGGACGGCGAACGAGGGGTATCTGTGGGAGGAAGGGCCCAGCAGCTTCCAACCTAACGACGCCACGCTCAAATGCGCGGCACGTGTTTAGACTGTCATCCGCGTTATAAGAAAAGTACATTCTGGTGGGCCCAACAACTTCCAGCTCAGCGACGTTGTGCTCAGATGCGCGGTACGTGCTATTCTGGTCGCATGCTGTGTCGCAATGTCTTGAATTCGCAGCAAGAAGTGTAGGTATACGGCGATTTCGAATTCTCCACGGAGCCGCAAGTCTGCCCTGGCAACGGATTTGAACCTTACAGGCCAAATGGAGTATATGTGGTGTCTGTGTAACCATGACAGATAAGACCTGCATGTAAGAAGCTTGAAGTTGGCTATTTTTCTATGAATAATACTATCAAAGCTATTTACAGATTCGCCTTTTACGGATGCATTTGCACTAATGACGTGGACCGTTTTTGCCACTGAGTCGTCAATTGCACTTTGCGTGGACGCGCGTTTTTGCTTCCTTATTTTTTCACGGAGGAGGGCTTGGCTTGTGGCACAAAAAGGTTAAGTTTCCCGAAACGTCGTTACACTGGCTCGCCGTGAGGGCTGGTCACGAGAAATGCAGCTCGTGCTGGCGAAGAATCATAATTGACTCCTTTTTCCTGCCATCCCCTGCTACCTGCCATTTCCTGTCATCCCCCTCCCGCCCCTGCCTTTCTCTGCCTCCCCGCCACCAACCCCGTGCCCGTGTCCAGTCCTTTCCGCTGTCCTGTTCTTCCTCCTGTCACCCCACCAACCCACCTACCCCATCAGCTCGACAGCGTGGTTATCGACCAGTTGGTGCTGGCCGATCCCGACGCGCCCCGCTTCGTCTTCTGGGAGGGGCGTCTGCGGCGCGGCCCCGTCTGCAAGGACCTCCCCGCGTCTCACCCTTGCCTTTGTTCTCTCTCCTGTTCTGTTCCCCGCCACCTTCCTTCCAACCCACCAACCCATCCATCAGCTCGACAGTGGGGTGATCGACCAGCTGGTCCTGGGAGATCCCGACGCGCCCCGCTTCGTCTTCTGGGAGGGACGTCTGCGCCCCGTGCCAGCGGGCCTGCTGGACCTGCCCGTGTTCGACCTCATGTCCATCATCGGCAAGATCCGGGCCGGCCTTGGTGCTTTCGGCCTCCGCCCTGCCGCTCCCGAGGTGAGTGTGTGAGGTGAACGTTGCCCCCCGTGCCTGCCGGCCTGCTGGACCTGCCCGTGTTGGACATTCTGTCCATCATCGGCAACATCCGCGCTGGTCTGGGTGCTTTCGTTTCGGTCTGCGCCCAGGGGTCAGTGTGATGTGAGCGGATCTGGCAGATGTCATTGTCCGTTGTTGTCCTCCTCATGCTCACTCCTTATGCGCATCCCCCTTTCCTCGTGCTCACCCCCCTTCCCTCCTTCTGCTCACCCCGCTGGCATGGCGTGGCGTGGCGTGGCATGGCGTGGGATGGTTGTGTGGCATGGCGTGGAATGGCATGTGGACAGCAGGGCAAGGAGGAGAGTGTGGAGGAGTTTGTGCGGCGCAATCTGGGAGCAGAGGTGTTTGAGCGCCTCATCGAGCCCTTCTGCTCCGGTGGGTGGGCGGTGGGAGTCACACAGGGAGTAGGGTGGTAGGGGGGTGCGTGTCTGCTGCTGCTATTCGTGCACTCCGTGCATGGCACCATGCACTATTCATCCCAATCTGGGAGCAGAGGTGTTTGAGCGCCTCATCGAGCCCTTCTGCTCCGGTGGGTGGGTGGATGGGTCCCTGGGCGCGTTGGTGGGTGTGTGGCTGGGTGGGCCGCTGGGTGGGTGGGTCGGTGCGTCGGTGGGTTTGTGGGTGCACTGCAACTGTTGAGTCCCTTCCATTTCGCCCTCCCCTCATTCCCCCAAAACCCCTCTTCTTTCCCTCCCCTCTTCTCTCCCTCCCCTCCCTTCCCCCACTCCATCCGGCAGGTGTGTACGCAGGAGACCCAACCAAGCCCTGCATGAAGGATGAATTTTGAGACGTCTCAAAAGACCCATCCAAGCCCTGCATGAAGGATGACTTTTGAGACGTCTCAAAAGACCCAACCAAGCCCTGCATGAAGGATGACTTTTGAGACGTCTCAAAAGACCCAACCAAGCCCTGCATGAAGGATGACTTTTGAGACGTCTCAAAAGACCCAACCAAGCCCTGCATGAAGGATGACTTTTGAGACGTCTCAAAAGACCCATCCAAGCCCTGCATGAAGGATGCGTTTGGCAGAGTGTGGCGCCTGGAGCAGGTGGGGTGTTTCCCTCTCTCCCCCCCCTGCTCATTCTCTCTGCCCCCCCACCCCTTTCCAACCCCACCTCCCCCCCCATTTGCTCCCTGCAGGTGTGTACGCAGGAGACCCATCGAAGCTGAGCATGAAGGCAGCGTTCGGCAAGGTGTGGCGTCTGGAGCAGCTGGGAGGGTCCATCTTTGGTGGCTCGATGAAGCTCATCAAGGAGAAGCAGGCCAATCCCCCTCCTCCCCGTGACCCGTACGTGACGCTTGATAGCCCGTAGGCTGCTGTAACGTGGTAACACAGTAACACGGTAACGTGCAACTTCATGAATGGAGGTGCTAGGAACAGCTGGGAGGGTCCATCTTTGGCGGATCCATGAAGCTCGTCAAGGAAAAACAGGCCAACCCGCCTCCTCCCCATGACCTGTATCTTACGTGTGGTAAATGCATGGTATCACAGTAGCGTGGTGAGCCCATGTTTGCTGCTGCTAGCAGCAGCTGAGCTGAGGTTTAGTTTTTGGTTCCCCCTCCCTGTGGCCCGTGAGTGTGCTGCGGTTGCTTTGTATCCGTACAGATGCTTATCTCATTATTCTTAATGCAGTTACCGTTATCCCATTCTAAGTCATCCATCCCTTTGCATCCCTTTCCACCCCTGCTCTCTCCTTCTCACCTGTTCAAACCGCTTGTCACCACGTGTATTTGCAGGCGCCTGCCGAAGCCCAAGGGGCAGACAGTGGGGTCGTTCCAAAAGGGACTCATCACCCTCCCCACCGGCATTGCCAACAAGTATGGTGGTGCGCCATCCCATGTGGTGACATGCCATGTTGCGCCATCCCATGTGGTGACATGCCATGTTGTGCCATCCCTTGTGGTGACATGCCATGTTGTGCCATCCCTTGTGGTGCCATCCCAATTGGTGCCATGCGATGTGGTGCCATGCGTTGTTGTGCCATGTCATGTTGTGCCATGCCATGCCATCCCATGCCATGCCACGCAACGCCATGCCATGCCATGTGCTGCCATGTTGTTCCATGATTTAGTACCCTCTGATGCCACAGTGCCATGCCATGACATGCCACATCACACTACATCACTGCACACTGAACGCAAATCGCACCCCTATCCACCAAACAACCCCTCCGAACCTGCCCTCCAGGCTCGGCGACCGGGTGAGGCTCGGGTGGAAGCTGACAGCCATAGAGAAGCGGCCAGGTGGCAGCGGCTTCCTGCTTTCCTACGACACTCCCGAGGGCGCCAAGAAGCTTTCAGCGCGCTCGCTGCTGCTCACCGTGCCCTCATATGTCGCTGCTGACCTGCTTAAGCCCTACTCTGTAAGCATTCGGCCATACGGGAATGCGAAAGGGGACTTACTTTCTTCGTAGGTCGCTGCTGACCTACTCAAGTCACACTTCTTATGTTCTGAGATGAACTCACCTTTGTTGCAGCAGCCACCCCTGCTGCGATTCACTCCTGTGAGTATCTTCTTCCTGTGGGATCTCCCCTCTTTTAACCCCCTTCCCCGTCCCCCCATCTCCATCCCCCTCCCTGCCCCTCCCTCCCCTCTCCTCCATCTCTCTTCCCCTGTCGCCCCTCCCACAGGCACCAGCAGCAGCCGCCCTTTCATCATTCTACTACCCGCCCGTGGCAGCAGTGACCATCTCGTACCCCAAGGAGGCCATCCGAGAGGACCGACTGGTGGGCGGGGAGCTCAAGGGCTTTGGGCAGCTGCACCCGCGCACCCAAGGGATCGTCACTCTGGGTACGGCATTGGGTGGCAGAGACGGGTGGGCGGGCGGGATGGGTGGGAAGGGCTGTCTCTTTCGTCATCTATCTCCTTGGCCGCACCTCCCAGGCACCTTCACCTGCTCTTCTCCCACCCTGCTCGTGCCCAACTGTGCTCCTTGCCCCTTGCTGTTGCCGTCTCCTCCTTCCCTCCTCGATCACCCCCCACTCTCCTCTCACCCCTCCAGGCACCATTTGCTGCTCCGCTGTCTTCCCCAACTGTGCTCGATGTTCCTTCCCTCCCTCCCTCCCTCTATCCCCTCTCCCCACCCTCCCAGGCACCATCTACAGCTCTGTTCTCTTCCCCAACCGTGCTACTTGCTCCTTGCCTCTCACACTGCCACGTGACCTCTCCCCTCTTCCCCTCACGTTCACAGGCACCATCTACAGCTCTGTTCTCTTCCCCAACCGCGCCCCAGACGGCCGTGTGCTGCTGCTGTGCTACATTGGCGGCGCGTGCAACACCAAGATCGCCACCATGGTGAGTGGGTGGTGGTGGTGGTGGGGCTTTAACTGTATCCATGCTGTAACATGCTTGTGCTTGTTTTCATGGTAATTGCTGCTGCTGTGCTACATTGGCGGCGCGTGCAACACCAAGATCGCCACCATGGTGAGTGGGTGGTGGTGGTGGGGCTTTAACTGTATCCATGCTGTAACATGCTTGTGCTTGTTTTCATGGTAATTGCTGCTGCTGTGCTACATTGGCGGCGCGTGCAACACCAAGATCGCCACCATGGTGAGTGGGTGGTGGTGGTGGGGCTTTAACTGTATCCATGCTGTAACATGCTTGTGCTTGTTTTCATGGTAATTGCTGCTGCTGTGCTACATTGGCGGCGCGTGCAACACCAAGATCGCCACCATGGTGAGTGGGTGGTGGTGGTGGGGCTTTAACTGTATCCATGCTGTAACATGCTTGTGCTTGTTTTCATGGTAATTGCTGCTGCTGTGCTACATTGGCGGCGCGTGCAACACCAAGATCGCCACCATGGTGAGTGGGTGGTGGTGGTGGGGCTTTAACTGTATCCATGCTGTAACATGCTTGTGCTTGTTTTCATGGTAATTGCTGCTGCTGTGCTACATTAGCGGCGCGTGCAACACCAAGATCGCCACCATGGTGAGTGGGTGGTGGTGGTGGGGCTTTAACTGTATCCATGCTGTAACATGCTTGTGCTTGTTTTCATGGTAATTGCTGCTGCTGTGCTACATTGGCGGCGCGTGCAACACCAAGATCGCCACCATGGTGAGTGGGTGGTGGTGGTGGGGCTTTAACTGTATCCATGCTGTAACATGCTTGTGCTTGTTTTCATGGTAATTGCTGCTGCTGTGCTACATTGGCGGCGCGTGCAACACCAAGATCGCCACCATGGTGAGTGGGTGGTGGTGGTGGCGCTTTAACTGTATCCATGCTGTAACATGCTTGTGCTTGTTTTCATGGTAATTGCTGCTGCTGTGCTACATTGGCGGCGCGTGCAACACCAAGATCGCCACCATGGTGAGTGGGTGGTGGTGGTGGGGCTTTAACTGTATCCATGCTGTAACATGCTTGTGCTTGTTTTCATGGTAATTGCTGCTGCTGTGCTACATTGGCGGCGCGTGCAACACCAAGATCGCCACCATGGTGAGTGGGTGGTGGTGGTGGGGCTTTAACTGTATCCATGCTGTAACATGCTTGTGCTTGTTTTCATGGTAATTGCTGCTGCTGTGCTACATTGGCGGCGCGTGCAACACCAAGATCGCCACCATGGTGAGTGGGTGGTGGTGGTGGGGCTTTAACTGTATCCATGCTGTAACATGCTTGTGCTTGTTTTCATGGTAATTGCTGCTGCTGTGCTACATTGGCGGCGCGTGCAACACCAAGATCGCCACCATGGTGAGTGGGTGGTGGTGGTGGCGCTTTAACTGTATCCATGCTGTAACATGCTTGTGCTTGTTTTCATGGTAATTGCTGCTGCTGTGCTACATTGGCGGCGCGTGCAACACCAAGATCGCCACCATGGTGAGTGGGTGGTGGTGGTGGGGCTTTAACTGTATCCATGCTGTAACATGCTTGTGCTTGTTTTCATGGTAATTGCTGCTGCTGTGCTACATTGGCGGCGCGTGCAACACCAAGATCGCCACCATGGTGAGTGGGTGGTGGTGGTGGGGCTTTAACTGTATCCATGCTGTAACATGCTTGTGCTTGTTTTCATGGTAATTGCTGCTGCTGTGCTACATTGGCGGCGCGTGCAACACCAAGATCGCCACCATGGTGAGTGGGTGGTGGTGGTGGCGCTTTAACTGTATCCATGCTGTAACATGCTTGTGCTTGTTTTCATGGTAATTGCTGCTGCTGTGCTACATTGGCGGCGCGTGCAACACCAAGATCGCCACCATGGTGAGTGGGTGGTGGTGGTGGCGCTTTAACTGTATCCATGCTGTAACATGCTTGTGCTTGTTTTCATGGTAATTGCTGCTGCTGTGCTACATTGGCGGCGCGTGCAACACCAAGATCGCCACCATGGTGAGTGGGTGGTGGTGGTGGCGCTTTAACTGTATCCATGCTGTAACATGCTTGTGCTTGTTTTCATGGTAATTGCTGCTGCTGTGCTACATTGGCGGCGCGTGCAACACCAAGATCGCCACCATGGTGAGTGGGTGGTGGTGGTGGCGCTTTAACTGTATCCATGCTGTAACATGCTTGTGCTTGTTTTCATGGTAATTGCTGCTGCTGTGCTACATTGGCGGCGCGTGCAACACCAAGATCGCCACCATGGTGAGTGGGTGGTGGTGGTGGGGCTTTAACTGTATCCATGCTGTAACATGCTTGTGCTTGTTTTCATGGTAATTGCTGCTGCTGTGCTACATTGGCGGCGCGTGCAACACCAAGATCGCCACCATGGTGAGTGGGTGGTGGTGGTGGCGCTTTAACTGTATCCATGCTGTAACATGCTTGTGCTTGTTTTCATGGTAATTGCTGCTGCTGTGCTACATTGGCGGCGCGTGCAACACCAAGATCGCCACCATGGTGAGTGGGTGGTGGTGGTGGCGCTTTAACTGTATCCATGCTGTAACATGCTTGTGCTTGTTTTCATGGTAATTGCTGCTGCTGTGCTACATTGGCGGCGCGTGCAACACCAAGATCGCCACCATGGTGAGTGGGTGGTGGTGGTGGCGCTTTAACTGTATCCATGCTGTAACATGCTTGTGCTTGTTTTCATGGTAATTGCTGCTGCTGTGCTACATTGGCGGCGCGTGCAACACCAAGATCGCCACCATGGTGAGTGGGTGGTGGTGGTGGCGCTTTAACTGTATCCATGCTGTAACATGCTTGTGCTTGTTTTCATGGTAATTGCTGCTGCTGTGCTACATTGGCGGCGCGTGCAACACCAAGATCGCCACCATGGTGAGTGGGTGGTGGTGGTGGCGCTTTAACTGTATCCATGCTGTAACATGCTTGTGCTTGTTTTCATGGTAATTGCTGCTGCTGTGCTACATTGGCGGCGCGTGCAACACCAAGATCGCCACCATGGTGAGTGGGTGGTGGTGGTGGGGCTTTAACTGTATCCATGCTGTAACATGCTTGTGCTTGTTTTCATGGTAATTGCTGCTGCTGTGCTACATTGGCGGCGCGTGCAACACCAAGATCGCCACCATGGTGAGTGGGTGGTGGTGGTGGCGCTTTAACTGTATCCATGCTGTAACATGCTTGTGCTTGTTTTCATGGTAATTGCTGCTGCTGTGCTACATTGGCGGCGCGTGCAACACCAAGATCGCCACCATGGTGAGTGGGTGGTGGTGGTGGCGCTTTAACTGTATCCATGCTGTAACATGCTTGTGCTTGTTTTCATGGTAATTGCTGCTGCTGTGCTACATTGGCGGCGCGTGCAACACCAAGATCGCCACCATGGTGAGTGGGTGGTGGTGGTGGGGCTTTAACTGTATCCATGCTGTAACATGCTTGTGCTTGTTTTCATGGTAATTGCTGCTGCTGTGCTACATTGGCGGCGCGTGCAACACCAAGATCGCCACCATGGTGAGTGGGTGGTGGTGGTGGCGCTTTAACTGTATCCATGCTGTAACGTGCTTGTGCTTGTTTTCATGGTAATTGCTGCTGCTGTGCTACATTGGCGGCGCGTGCAACACCAAGATCGCCACCATGGTGAGTGGGTGGTGGTGGTGGCACTTTAACTGTATCCATGCTGTAACATGCTTGTGCTTGTTTTCATGGTAATTGCTGCTGCTGTGCTACATTGGCGGCGCGTGCAACACCAAGATCGCCACCATGGTGAGTGGGTGGTGGTGGTGGGGCTTTAACTGTATCCATGCTGTAACATGCTTGTGCTTGTTTTCATGGTAATTGCTGCTGCTGTGCTACATTGGCGGCGCGTGCAACACCAAGATCGCCACCATGGTGAGTGGGTGGTGGTGGTGGCGCTTTAACTGTATCCATGCTGTAACATGCTTGTGCTTGTTTTCATGGTAATTGCTGCTGCTGTGCTACATTGGCGGCGCGTGCAACACCAAGATCGCCACCATGGTGAGTGGGTGGTGGTGGTGGCGCTTTAACTGTATCCATGCTGTAACATGCTTGTGCTTGTTTTCATGGTAATTGCTGCTGCTGTGCTACATTGGCGGCGCGTGCAACACCAAGATCGCCACCATGGTGAGTGGGTGGTGGTGGTGGGGCTTTAACTGTATCCATGCTGTAACATGCTTGTGCTTGTTTTCATGGTAATTGCTGCTGCTGTGCTACATTGGCGGCGCGTGCAACACCAAGATCGCCACCATGGTGAGTGGGTGGTGGTGGTGGCGCTTTAACTGTATCCATGCTGTAACATGCTTGTGCTTGTTTTCATGGTAATTGCTGCTGCTGTGCTACATTGGCGGCGCGTGCAACACCAAGATCGCCACCATGGTGAGTGGGTGGTGGTGGTGGCGCTTTAACTGTATCCATGCTGTAACATGCTTGTGCTTGTTTTCATGGTAATTGCTGCTGCTGTGCTACATTGGCGGCGGGTGCAACACCAAGATCGCCACCATGGTGAGTGGGTGGTGGTGGTGGCGCTTTAACTGTATCCATGCTGTAACATGCTTGTGCTTGTTTTCATGGTAATTGCTGCTGCTGTGCTACATTGGCGGCGCGTGCAACACCAAGATCGCCACCATGGTGAGTGGGTGGTGGTGGTGGCGCTTTAACTGTATCCATGCTGTAACATGCTTGTGCTTGTTTTCATGGTAATTGCTGCTGCTGTGCTACATTGGCGGCGCGTGCAACACCAAGATCGCCACCATGGTGAGTGGGTGGTGGTGGTGGCGCTTTAACTGTATCCATGCTGTAACATGCTTGTGCTTGTTTTCATGGTAATTGCTGCTGCTGTGCTACATTGGCGGCGCGTGCAACACCAAGATCGCCACCATGGTGAGTGGGTGGTGGTGGTGGCGCTTTAACTGTATCCATGCTGTAACATGCTTGTGCTTGTTTTCATGGTAATTGCTGCTGCTGTGCTACATTGGCGGCGCGTGCAACACCAAGATCGCCACCATGGTGAGTGGGTGGTGGTGGTGGCGCTTTAACTGTATCCATGCTGTAACATGCTTGTGCTTGTTTTCATGGTAATTGCTGCTGCTGTGCTACATTGGCGGCGCGTGCAACACCAAGATCGCCACCATGGTGAGTGGGTGGTGGTGGTGGGGCTTTAACTGTATCCATGCTGTAACATGCTTGTGCTTGTTTTCATGGTAATTGCTGCTGCTGTGCTACATTGGCGGCGCGTGCAACACCAAGATCGCCACCATGGTGAGTGGGTGGTGGTGGTGGCGCTTTAACTGTATCCATGCTGTAACATGCTTGTGCTTGTTTTCATGGTAATTGCTGCTGCTGTGCTACATTGGCGGCGCGTGCAACACCAAGATCGCCACCATGGTGAGTGGGTGGTGGTGGTGGCGCTTTAACTGTATCCATGCTGTAACATGCTTGTGCTTGTTTTCATGGTAATTGCTGCTGCTGTGCTACATTGGCGGCGCGTGCAACACCAAGATCGCCACCATGGTGAGTGGGTGGTGGTGGTGGGGCTTTAACTGTATCCATGCTGTAATATGCTTGTGCTTGTTTTCATGGTAATTGCTGCTGCTGTGCTACATTGGCGGCGCGTGCAACACCAAGATCGCCACCATGGTGAGTGGGTGGTGGTGGTGGCGCTTTAACTGTATCCATGCTGTAACATGCTTGTGCTTGTTTTCATGGTAATTGCTGCTGCTGTGCTACATTGGCGGCGCGTGCAACACCAAGATCGCCACCATGGTGAGTGGGTGGTGGTGGTGGCGCTTTAACTGTATCCATGCTGTAACATGCTTGTGCTTGTTTTCATGGTAATTGCTGCTGCTGTGCTACATTGGCGGCGCGTGCAACACCAAGATCGCCACCATGGTGAGTGGGTGGTGGTGGTGGCGCTTTAACTGTATCCATGCTGTAACATGCTTGTGCTTGTTTTCATGGTAATTGCTGCTGCTGTGCTACATTGGCGGCGCGTGCAACACCAAGATCGCCACCATGGTGAGTGGGTGGTGGTGGTGGCGCTTTAACTGTATCCATGCTGTAACATGCTTGTGCTTGTTTTCATGGTAATTGCTGCTGCTGTGCTACATTGGCGGCGCGTGCAACACCAAGATCGCCACCATGGTGAGTGGGTGGTGGTGGTGGCGCTTTAACTGTATCCATGCTGTAACATGCTTGTGCTTGTTTTCATGGTAATTGCTGCTGCTGTGCTACATTGGCGGCGCGTGCAACACCAAGATCGCCACCATGGTGAGTGGGTGGTGGTGGTGGCGCTTTAACTGTATCCATGCTGTAACATGCTTGTGCTTGTTTTCATGGTAATTGCTGCTGCTGTGCTACATTGGCGGCGCGTGCAACACCAAGATCGCCACCATGGTGAGTGGGTGGTGGTGGTGGCGCTTTAACTGTATCCATGCTGTAACATGCTTGTGCTTGTTTTCATGGTAATTGCTGCTGCTGTGCTACATTGGCGGCGCGTGCAACACCAAGATCGCCACCATGGTGAGTGGGTGGTGGTGGTGGGGCTTTAACTGTATCCATGCTGTAACATGCTTGTGCTTGTTTTCATGGTAATTGCTGCTGCTGTGCTACATTGGCGGCGCGTGCAACACCAAGATCGCCACCATGGTGAGTGGGTGGTGGTGGTGGGGCTTTAACTGTATCCATGCTGTAACATGCTTGTGCTTGTTTTCATGGTAATTGCTGCTGCTGTGCTACATTGGCGGCGCGTGCAACACCAAGATCGCCACCATGGTGAGTGGGTGGTGGTGGTGGCGCTTTAACTGTATCCATGCTGTAACATGCTTGTGCTTGTTTTCATGGTAATTGCTGCTGCTGTGCTACATTGGCGGCGCGTGCAACACCAAGATCGCCACCATGGTGAGTGGGTGGTGGTGGTGGGGCTTTAACTGTATCCATGCTGTAACATGCTTGTGCTTGTTTTCATGGTAATTGCTGCTGCTGTGCTACATTGGCGGCGCGTGCAACACCAAGATCGCCACCATGGTGAGTGGGTGGTGGTGGTGGCGCTTTAACTGTATCCATGCTGTAACATGCTTGTGCTTGTTTTCATGGTAATTGCTGCTGCTGTGCTACATTGGCGGCGCGTGCAACACCAAGATCGCCACCATGGTGAGTGGGTGGTGGTGGTGGCGCTTTAACTGTATCCATGCTGTAACATGCTTGTGCTTGTTTTCATGGTAATTGCTGCTGCTGTGCTACATTGGCGGCGCGTGCAACACCAAGATCGCCACCATGGTGAGTGGGTGGTGGTGGTGGCGCTTTAACTGTATCCATGCTGTAACATGCTTGTGCTTGTTTTCATGGTAATTGCTGCTGCTGTGCTACATTGGCGGCGCGTGCAACACCAAGATCGCCACCATGGTGAGTGGGTGGTGGTGGTGGCGCTTTAACTGTATCCATGCTGTAACATGCTTGTGCTTGTTTTCATGGTAATTGCTGCTGCTGTGCTACATTGGCGGCGCGTGCAACACCAAGATCGCCACCATGGTGAGTGGGTGGTGGTGGTGGCGCTTTAACTGTATCCATGCTGTAACATGCTTGTGCTTGTTTTCATGGTAATTGCTGCTGCTGTGCTACATTGGCGGCGCGTGCAACACCAAGATCGCCACCATGGTGAGTGGGTGGTGGTGGTGGCGCTTTAACTGTATCCATGCTGTAACATGCTTGTGCTTGTTTTCATGGTAATTGCTGCTGCTGTGCTACATTGGCGGCGCGTGCAACACCAAGATCGCCACCATGGTGAGTGGGTGGTGGTGGTGGGGCTTTAACTGTATCCATGCTGTAACATGCTTGTGCTTGTTTTCATGGTAATTGCTGCTGCTGTGCTACATTGGCGGCGCGTGCAACACCAAGATCGCCACCATGGTGAGTGGGTGGTGGTGGTGGCGCTTTAACTGTATCCATGCTGTAACATGCTTGTGCTTGTTTTCATGGTAATTGCTGCTGCTGTGCTACATTGGCGGCGCGTGCAACACCAAGATCGCCACCATGGTGAGTGGGTGGTGGTGGTGGCACTTTAACTGTATCCATGCTGTAACATGCTTGTGCTTGTTTTCATGGTAATTGCTGCTGCTGTGCTACATTGGCGGCGCGTGCAACACCAAGATCGCCACCATGGTGAGTGGGTGGTGGTGGTGGCGCTTTAACTGTATCCATGCTGTAACATGCTTGTGCTTGTTTTCATGGTAATTGCTGCTGCTGTGCTACATTGGCGGCGCGTGCAACACCAAGATCGCCACCATGGTGAGTGGGTGGTGGTGGTGGCGCTTTAACTGTATCCATGCTGTAACATGCTTGTGCTTGTTTTCATGGTAATTGCTGCTGCTGTGCTACATTGGCGGCGCGTGCAACACCAAGATCGCCACCATGGTGAGTGGGTGGTGGTGGTGGCGCTTTAACTGTATCCATGCTGTAACATGCTTGTGCTTGTTTTCATGGTAATTGCTGCTGCTGTGCTACATTGGCGGCGCGTGCAACACCAAGATCGCCACCATGGTGAGTGGGTGGTGGTGGTGGCGCTTTAACTGTATCCATGCTGTAACATGCTTGTGCTTGTTTTCATGGTAATTGCTGCTGCTGTGCTACATTGGCGGCGCGTGCAACACCAAGATCGCCACCATGGTGAGTGGGTGGTGGTGGTGGCGCTTTAACTGTATCCATGCTGTAACATGCTTGTGCTTGTTTTCATGGTAATTGCTGTGACACTTCCTTCTCTTCCCCTCCCTCTCCCATCCCAACCTGTCAGAGCGAGGAGGAGATCGTGAAGCAGGTGGACATTGATGTGCGCAAGATGCTCATCAAGCCCGATGCAGCAGCGCCCCAAACGCACGGCGTGCGTGTGTGGCCGCACGCCATTCCCCAGTTCAACATGTTCCCTTCCCCACCTCTCCCTCCTTCTCCCTCTCCTCCTCCTCTTCTCTCCCCTCCCCTCCCCTCCCTTCCCTGCCTCCTCTTCTCTCCCTACCCTTCCCTCCCCCACGCTCTCCCAACCTGTCAGAGCGAGGAGGAGATCGTGAAGCAGGTGGACATTGATGTGCGCAAGATGCTCATCAAGCCCGATGCAGCAGCGCCCCAGACGCACGGCGTGCGTGTGTGGCCGCGTGCCATCCCGCAGTTCAACGTGGGCCACCTTGATAATCTAGCTAAGGCGCGCGAGGAGATCCGGGCGGCTGGTCTCGAGGGCGTGTTCCTGGGAGGGAATTACGTGGCGGGGGTCGCGCTGGGTCGGTGTGTGGAGGGTGGGTATGAGAGCGCAGCGGAGGTGGTACAGTATTTGGAGAATGTTGCTGTCAGCAAATGAGGAGGGTTAGAATGCCTTGGAATGGAGGAGGTGCTGATGTTTGGTTTTGATTGTCCACTAGTCAACATTTGTTGTATGGGGTGGAATAAGCTCCATTTCTGGTTTTCTTGCATGGCACACTTGCCCAGATGAATTGTTGGATGAAAGAGGTATGGATGGAAAGTAAGGTACCATGCAAAGAAAATAAGAACAAATCTATTTTTTGTCAGAATAGTGAACGAAGGAATGACTGAACTAGGAAGCAGGTGGGTACAAGTAGGAAACCTAAAAGTGTTGAACCCTATATGAACTACCCCACTACAGCCTAGACACACTATAGCATATAAATTTGACACACCCCCATAGGCAAAGTGGGGGAGAACAAGAGGTCACAAGACCGGTCAAGAAAGGCAAAGCAAGCTCAGGGTGGATCACAAAGTCACCACGCATTCTGAGCACAAGCAAATGGCCACAAGGCCAGTTCGCATGCACAGTTATATAAAGGAGAACAAGCAATACAGTGAACACAACATAGCAAGTGTAACCATGCAGGTATATGTATAGAGATCACAGTACAAGCAGAGTAAAGAAGTAAGCAAGTGAGGCACAGTAGGTACAAGGCCTAGAACAGTACAGAAACGCTGATGATCACAAGGAGGAAGTGCCTTGGTGAAAACATCAGCAGTGTTGGCCTGAGAGGCCACGTAAGCAAGACGAAGCTGACCACGCTGCTGCAACTCTCGAGCAAGGAAGTAGCGCAGAGCGATGTGCTTCGTTCTGTGCTCCAGTTTGTGCTCCTGACAAGGCAATCATGGCCTTGTTGTCGACGTACAGCACTGGAGGAGAACGAGGCGGCTCTCCCAGGTCGGTCAATAGGTAGGTGAGCCAGCGTAACTCCTGTGCAGCCATGGCCCCAGCGTAGATCTCAGCCTCACAACTGGAGCTGAGAACAGAAGACGAGTGGGTAGACGGCCAAGAGACAGGGCCGGAGCCAAGGCTGAAGGTGTAATCCTGTGACGACCGCTGCGTAGTCAAGTCGTCAACCCAGGAAGCGTCTGCGTGACCAGTAAGGACAACTCGAGCCCGTCCTCCAAGCACGAGCCCCATGCCCGACGTACTGCACAAGTAGCGCAACACCCTCTTAGCTGCATCCATGTGCTCCTTCCTGTGTCTGCCAGGAGCGACATAGCGTGCTAGGATGCTAAGAGGGTAGGCCAGGTCATGTCGAGTGCAGGTCATCAGGTACATGAGGCAGCCCACAAGCTCTGGATACGGGCCACTCGGCTCTACGGACTCGTCCGAAGGTGGAGCTGAGAGCGAGTGACCGGTAGGCAGAGGAGTGGACTATGGCGAGGAGTACGTGAAGCCGAAGCGCTGAAGGACCTGCTGCACCATGTGTGACTGAGTCAAGGTAATGGTGCGCTGTGCTCTGTCCCGGGTGATCCACAAGCCAAGATAGCTTGTGAGCTCACCCAAGTCTGTGCACGTGTGTCTCTTCTGCAGCTCGGAATTCACGTGGGCGAGTGCCTCAGTGTCAGCAGTAGCAAAGACCAAGTCGTCTACGTACACGAGAACGTAGAGCGGTGGCAGAGTGGTGTCAGTGCGTAGAAACAGCGACAGGTCAGCAGTGGAAGGAGCAAAACCAAGAGCAGCACGGGGTGCCTGGCGGAGCCCGTAGACTTGCCGCCGGAGGCTCCACTGGGTACCAGCAGGAAACGACCCAGTGAAGCCAGGTGGGCGGCGCAACCAGATCTCCTCGTGCAGGCTGCCCTGTAGGAAGGCTGTGCTGAAGTCAAGCGAGTGTAGCTCGTAGTCACGCTGAGCGGCGACGTGCATCAGCACCCGAAGAGTGGTCATCTTCAAGGTAGGGGAGAAGGTCTGGAAGAAGTCAACTCCCTGTCGCTGACTGAAGCCTCGTGCAACGTAACGCGCCTTGAAGACAGGCGGAGAACCCGGCGGTCGCTTCACCCTGAAAATCCACATGCCACTGACGATGTTCGCCCTAGGCGGGGGAACCTCGTCGACGTAGGTGCCTGTGGACTTCCAGGAAGCCATCTCTGTGTCCATGGTTGTCTGCCACTGAGAGGAGTAGGGACCCTCTATCGCCTCTGCGTAAGAGCACGGGGTCGGGATGTCTGGTGCATCCGGGTCTCCCTCAGGGGCAAGCAGCATGGACACGAGATGAGGTAAAGCAGTGGCAAAGCACTAAAACTCCTCCTGTCTGTCCTCAAGGACGTCCGTGCCAAGAGCAAACTCACCCCCGACGGACGGAGGACAGACAAACGCAGAATCAGACTCAGCAACAAGACTAGCGGCGTAGTCTAGACGACAGGCGGCAGCAAAGTCAACAAGCTCAGCAACGAGAGCAGACGCAGCAGTGGACTCAAACGAAGGGTCAGTGACAGCAGTGGCCAGAAAACGCGTGACAGTAGGACTAGCAGTACGAAGGGAGTCAGACTCCGGGTCCGGACCGTCAGGAAGAGAGGACGCAGGGGGAGACGGAAGAGGGACACGCTGTGGAGCAGTGGAAGGACGCAGAGTCATAGAGTGAGTGCCGGGGACAGGAGGAGGACGCTGACGCGGAACACGACGACCAGTGCGAACAGCGCAAACAGGCGACTCAGGACGAGACTTAGGTGACGCAGGACGAGACTCAGGCGATGCAGGACGAGACTCAGGCTCACGACGCTCAGTAAGACCTCTAGTCGGTCCAAAGTAAGGAGAAGGACCAGGCAGTGGAGAGGCTGGCTGTAACTGCGACTGTGACTGGACAGGCGGTGGACTCAGTAAGGGAGGGGTAGGACCAGTAGAAGGCGAGAGACCAAGAACCTTATGAAGGAGTGGAACGTAGTACGGCCGCGGCCGCGCAGCTCCTCCAGAAACAACAGAGACAGCACCAGTACCCTCAGCTCCAGGGTCTCCAGCTACAACTCCCGCAGCACAACCAGCTCCAGTACCTCCAGCAGCTCCAGCTCCAGGAGCACCTCCAGTAGCAACAGCTCCAGCACCTACAGCTCCAACTCCTCCAGCACCACCAGCCCCAGCAGCTCCAGTACCTCCAGTACGAGCACCTCCGGGACCAGCTGCTCCAGCACCTCCAGCAGCTCCAACACCAGCACGACCTCCAACAGCGCCAGTACCTCCAGCACCAGCACCTCCAGGACCAGCGGCTCCAGCAGCTCCAGCACCAGCAACACCTCCAGCAGCTCCAGCTCCAGAAGCACCTCCAGCAGCAGGCCCCGTAGCTCCAGCAGCACGGCTACAGCGCCGAGCGTACCACTCACGTAGCCGCTGCGGAGAGAGGGGCTCCCGCCGTGACGGGACACCCGGAGAACCTCCAGACTCAGCACGCTCAGGCTCAGCACCCCCAGGCCCCGCACCCTCAGACTCAGTAACCCCAGGCTCAGCACCCCCAGGCCCCGCACCTGAGTCAAGTGTGAAAGTGTGCAAGGCCTCAGTAGGTGCAGTACCAGAGAGAGCAGACTCACCAGTACCTGGAGCAGCAGACTCACTAGTACCTGGAGCAGCAGACGCACTAGCACCTAGAGCAGCAGCCTCAATGCCCGGGTCGGGCGGAACACACAGGTAGCAGTCACCCTCAGCACTATCAGTCACATCATACATGGCAGCAGGGATAGCATCGAAATCAAGATCAAAGATAGCAACATTCTGCCTAAGCAGATCACCCCAGCGAGGGAGCTCAACAGCGTCAGGAAACTGGGCGCGCCAGGCGTCAGTCAGGCGACCGAAGCAGCGCTGCGTAGTGTGTGGCAGCCCCCACGTCTCCCCACGGCGCCCGCCGGTGCGAAGAACATAAGTGCAGGGACCAACACCCCCAGACCTCCCACACCCAGCGTACCACTCACGAAGCTGCTAGGCCGACGGGGTCTCACGGGAACGCGGCTGCTGCTGGCGCTGGCTACCACCAAAGCCTCCACGCTGCGCGGCTCCACCTCGACTAGCACCACCGCCGCCGCCACCTCCACCACCGCTGCCGCTGCCGCTGCCTCCACCACCCCCACCGCCGCCACCGAAGCCCCCACTCCCTTCACCACCCCCACCTCCACCGCCACCCCCTTCGCCTCCTTCACCGCCTCCACCGCCGCCCCCACCGTCCCCTCCACCACCCTTGCCCCCTTTGCCCTTGCTGTTGCATCGCCTCCCACTGGGAGCAGACGCAGCCCCGACCTCCTCAGCGCCAACGAGGTCGACAGCAGCAGCAGAAGCAACAGAGGGGAGAAGGGGGACAGGGGAACACCCCTCAAAGAAAGGGGCGCGAGGGTCGCCGCGAGAAGCACCTACAACAAGGATACTCTTCTCAGCTGCAGTGAGGCGCTCCTCTAGCAGGTCGACGGTGAGCTCGGTGGGGCAAAGGGAGAGAAAGTGGTCCCTGACTGAAGCAAGGGAGTCAGGGAGGCGGGTGACTAGGTAGTAAAGGGTGATGTACATGGGGGGGGGGTTCTTGGCACAGAACTCAGTGGGAAGCGCAGCGCGGAAGCGGGCGTCACTAGTGCGGAGGTGAGTAATGAGGTCAGCGACTGTGGCAAAGGCGGCAAGGTCAGGGAACAAGTACGGCAGCATGAGGTGGCTGAGGGCAGCAGTGGCAGGGGAGGAGTAGCGCGCTACGACAGCGTCATACAAAGACTTAGCAGTCTTGTACTGGCCAAAGTGCGCGCGCTCAGCAGTCGGCAGGTGACCACGGACAGCAAGGCGAGCAACAACGTCACGAGTGGTCCACTGCGAGCGAACCGTACTGTCAGCAGTGGCAGCAGGTGCAGGGGAGACACCGGACGTGTGATCGAAAAGGGATACTCCGTCCTTAGAGTCACACTAAAGAAAGAGCTGCAGGTCGTCAACCCACACGTCAAAGTCAACCGCACGCCCCTCAGCATCAAAGGTAAGAACATTAGGGCTAGCCATAGCGGCAGTAGCAGCAGTAGCAGCAGTGGCAGCAGTAGCAGCAGGAGCAGCGCGGGCAGGGCAGTGCGGCTCAGTAGGGCGGCGCGGCTCGGCAGGGCGGC